TGGGCGCAAAACGTAGCAAAGAGAAAATAAAAATCTGTTCCACTTCGCTCTGGCAAACAACGTCACCTCGGTCCGCGGCTGCCCACGTCGTCCGCTTGGCACGCGGGACGACGCCGCCGCTTAATGGCAGACAGCTTCGCTTAAATAATCCACAATAGAGGCGTTTGTGGGTTAGATCGCGTAAGTGTAAATGCATCGTTAAGCCCTCCACTACCCGACACAGGCAATTAGTAATGTTTGTCCCGTAAACAAAACGTGCCAATTCCTTAGTAGTACAACATTGACATTTTTTCGTACATACATTTACAATACAAATTCGCTGTGTCCGGTGGTGGCGGGTTTAACGACACATTTAGATTGACGCAATCTCACCAAAAGACCTCTTATGGATAATATTGCTCGCGAAAGCCGACGTGTGAAACTGACTCCCAGGCCCACGAGACGTACATCTAATGGCGAGATTAAAGAATAGATCGCACGCGATTAATGCGGATATTTCCCACAGACGCGCGGTGTAACCTTGCTTAAAGGGCCGCCGCACAAAACCCTCTATGGCTACACGATGCCTGTCCGTGTGAAAAGAACTCGGCAAAGGCGACGATTTTACTATCTCATTTTGTCCATCGCGCATTCCGCTCCAGCTGCCCCCCACCGCGCCCCCCCCCTCCCCCCCCGTATGACTTGGATTGAGCCACGGCGTGTTCGCCGCTCGCCACGGAAGTGTCCTGGTTTCGATCCCGGCACGCCTTCCCGGTTGACACCACGGGTGTACAAGCCATGAGCTACGCGCCGTCCACTTCGGAGAGAACTTTAGAGATCCTGCGATGACATTCGGAGATAGAGTTGAACATTGTGTGCCGTGAACAATAGAACGAGTTACTCGCGTGAAAAAACAACCTATCGGGGCCCTTCTGAAAGAGAGTCTTGACTCGTGGACTCGGGGTGAAACCTTCCGGGCTCATATAAAAAAGCTGCATTGCCCATCGCTTAGCGGTCTCATTTTCATGTTTTGACCGCCTCCCCCCACCACCACCCCAACCCACCAACTACTCGAGACGGCTTGTGTGTCATCAAGTGAAGGTTGTGATACAAAAAAAGGGGGTGCTGACGCTTCAGCAGGGGGAGATTATCCCCCCCTCCTCCGACGCTACGTGGCTGGTTTGAAAATGAAAACGTGTATCTTGGAAGATTCGGCTTCGTCTGTGAGCAGAGGGAGTTTGCGTCTGAGCCGTCACGTGCCCTCTCCCCTGACAGGGCAGCCTCATCAACTACCTGAGGTCACGGGGTCGCGCGGGGATTACCAAGGTGGAGCAGATCACGTTTGCGCTGTGAGTCCTCACACATCATCGTCGTTGTTGTCATCGTCATCAGCATCGTTCGTAACCATAGTGATTCTTAATCATCACTAGCACTGCCCTCGCATTTGTATGGGTGACGTCACGACTGTGCACTTGCCTGCGCATCAGCCAGCCAGCAAAAACTTTTTTGTATAATATAGTATGATCATCATCAATTCAATGGAGGTCTCATTGCTCACTTGGCCCAACAGTCTCAGCGTACTTACGGATGTATGCCCGTTTCTGTGTGACGACACGCGTGTGTATACGTGTGTGTGCATGTGCGCGAGAATGCGTGTGCGCGTGCACGCGTGTGCGCGTGCACGTGTCTGTGCGTTTGTGTGCGTGCGCACATCCAAGTGTGGGCGGGAGTGTGCTTGTGCTTTTGTGTAAATGCACGTGCGAGCTCGTGCACGTACACGTGTGCGTGCATTTGCGTGCTTGACTGCACGTGTTGACGTGTGTGTGCGTGCGTGCGTGAGCAGTCACGTGTGCGAGGGAATGGACTACCTGGAGCAGCAGAATTTCGTGCACCGTGACCTGGCGGCCCGGAACGTCCTCATCTCGGAGGACATGACCGCCAAGGTGGCCGACTTCGGCCTGGCGGGGGAGCGGGGCAAGGGCAGCATGACCAAGAAGCTGCCTGTCAAGTGGACGTCGCCGGAGGCGCTGCGCAAGCACGTGGGTAGCCCGCCGCAGCGATACCTCTTGCTTGCCCGCACGCTCACTCGCTCGCTGTCTCCCTCGCTGTCTCACTCGCTCGCTGTCTCCCTCGCTGTCTCCCTCGCTGTCTCCCTCGCTGTCTAGACTCCTGTCTCCCTCGCTGTCTCCCTCGCTGTCTCCCTCGCTGTCTCCCTCGCTGTCTCCCTCGCTGTCTCCCTCGCTGTCTCCCTCACTGTGTAGACTCATGTCTCCCTCGCTGTCTCCTTCGCTGTCTCCCTCGCTGTCTCCCTCGCTGTCTCCCTCGCTGTCTCGATCTTTCACTCGTGATGTAGCCGGGACTCGCAGCCCAGTCACGTGGGCAGCGTCTGTAGCCGCGTGTGTTTGTGTTGGGGGCAGCATCGGGGGGAGCGAGCAAGCCGTGACAAGGGTGTACATGCATGGTCATTTAATTGGAGGGCCAGATTGTTTTGAGCAGTGGATTCAGCACATCAACCAGACCCGAGCATTAAGTCTAACCTAAATGGCCGGCAAGACATTAGCCATGATTCGAACCACATCAGCCAATCGGGCCGCAGCTTTAGTCTGAGCCCTAGCGCTAACCCCAGCCGTGGCACTTCACCCTTCACCATTTTTCGTTGCCTCAGTAACGTTTCATCTTCAGGATGCCGGCGTAATTGCGTCCGTGAAGAGGCCTCCAAGTTTCGCCAAAATGAACACCGGACGACGTTTTTTTAAGAGTCAAAGGTCAAAGCGTCTCCCTGTTCAGTTGAGCCACAGGTGTGCCACTTGGCTCAGCTCCAATTGTGGCCCCGAACCAGCGGTGGGAAATTCCACATCCTTATGGCAGGCTCCAGTATAAATGACAGTCTGAGAAAGTACACACTCCGATAGGTCATCTTGATAAGGAAGAGAGTTGATGTCATTAAATATGTTGTCACTCCTGCCCCGACTGCCAGGGGCGCTTTAAACTCTTTGCGTCGGCACTGCCGGTCGCGTTAGCGCCCATCGCCCTCTGCTGGTCGCTCGCGGCGGCAGTGCGAGTGCCGGCGTGGAGCGGAGGAGATTCGTCCTCTCGCTCGCCGCACTCACTTCCTGCTACATCCACGCATGGCCCCACGACGTACATGGCGCAGAGCGTATAGTGACGTATGCGGGGCACCGTGTAAAGCGATGTATATGGTGCATCGTGCAGTCTCCAACAATTATTCACTCAATCTCTTGAGCCTCTCCCTCTCTCTGCTATGTTTCATTGCACACGGAGGAGAACCATCGCCCCCCCCCCCCCCCCCAAAAAAAAAGTCTCCTGTTATATTCGTTCCCCCTTTTAAGAGGCAGTGCCATTTGAAGGAAGTGTTGAAATGTCGTTAAAAGTCCAGCTTTATTTATTAAATGTGGCTTGCTACTGTACTCGCATGGCCCCTCCATGGCACGTGGGCCTTGGTGTTTCCAGGAATCGCTGACACGTTGTGTGCTCCGAGTGTTCGCATCTTGAGATTGGCTCACGATGAGCTCTGGGCGGTTCCTGGCAGTTGTCTCAAATCAGCCGTGGCGAGGGAGGGCCTTGAGGGTTGTTATTCTCCCCACCACCGGAGCTCGTGTAACCCAAGTCTCGCATAAACCAAATTAACACGCGCATTTGAGTTGGCTCATGTTTGAGCCGGATTGATTGGGGTGAACGCTTATTCAGGGTTTTTTTTACGCTACTTATTATAGAGCGACTTGGGATGCTCTGCATGAACAACATTCAAAAGCAAATTGCCTTGTATTGTATGATCAAGTACACGTGACGGTGGGGGTTTTTTTTCTTCAAAGGAAATTGCAAACGATGATTACGATGATTCGCATTTGTGCGTGGATGCAGGAATTTTCCACCAAGTCAGACGTGTGGAGTTTTGGAATCCTCCTCTGGGAAATTTATTCCTTCGGCCGCGTGCCCTACCCCCGCGTGGTGAGCGAGTGGCAGGATATTCACCAGCGCCACCATCACTCACCAACTCACCTACCACGCACACAGACCCATAGATGCACGCAGGGACCCATAGACGCACGCAGGGACTTATAGACGGACACAGAGACCGATAGACTCGCACACAGACCCATATACGCACGCAGACACCCTTAGACATGCACAGAGACCCATAGACACACGCAGAAACCTACAGATGCACCCAGAGACCCACAGATGCACGCATATACCCATAGACACACAGAGACCCATAAACTCATACAGATACCCATAGAAGCACAGAGCAACCCACAGCCTCACAGAGATTCCCATCGACTCGCACAGTGCCCAGTATCTACCCGTCTACAAAACAACAATTCCTCCAATTTTTGAACAGCGTCTTGAGATGCAGCCACGTGTAGCCACACCTCCGACTAGCACGGTTGGCTACGTACGGTGGGAAAGAAGTTCTACATACATACAGATGCGATGCAAACGCTGTTCTATACGTTGCATCCTAACCTCGTGTTTCCTCGCCGATCCCCCCCCGCTCTCCCCCCCCCACCTCGTGACCTCTTGACCTCCGTCGCCGCAGCCCTTGAAGGACGTGGTGGAATACGTGGAGGATGGCTACCGCATGGACCCCCCCGAGCTGTGCCCCAGCACTGTGAGCAGCGTCATGACGTCGTGCTGGCACGTGGAGCCAGCGTGTCGGCCCAGCTTCCGCGACCTAAGGCGAATCCTGCAACATGAGAAGATCCACGACGAGTTGCAGAAGTGCTGAGAGTGGCACCCGCGGAGGGTTCTGAGTCCGTGGGGGTAAAGGGGTGGGGGCGGTGGCGGGCTGGGGGGATTTAGATCAGGGAAGAGTTGCCACCTGTCCCGGTTTTGACAGAATCGATTTTATTTTTAGAGGTAGTTGTTTTTCGGAACTCTGCGAGTCTTCCTGGGACGTTACTTAAAGATTTCGGTTATTATAATAATCACATGGCATTTGAGGCAATGCATTTGTGTGTAGTTTTCCCCTCTTCTGGCACTGTGAAATATTCGTATTGCCATGGTATGTCTAGGTTTGTTTTTTTTTTCCTCCCCAGAGGTGGCAAACCCTAGATGGCGGGAGAGGTGGAGTGGCAGTGTGGCCATGGCGGAGGGGTGGGGGGGCCATGAGGTTTTTCGGGTGCCCCCACCGTCGATCAGCTTCGTCCGTGTCCCTGTGTGGCATCGCTCGCTTGACCATCATCAGCAGTACACACGCGAGACCCGAAGCACGGGCCAGGCCTTGGGTCGTGTCGGCATTTTGCCGAGTTTCTGGAGCTGCAACAGATCCGTCCACACGTCGCGACTTCTTCTCAGCCCGAGCGATTTTTCGCCTGAGGTTGTCGCGCCGGTTTATCCAACGATTCACTCCGATAGCCGCCACCATCCCGTCGTGTCGGCGAGTACTCTCAAGTCTCGAGTGTGTATTTGTTGAAGCAGGGTGAGAGCTCGAGAGAGGGAGAGAGTCTTAATTTGCAAGAGTGGCCTGGGTAAGCAAAATGACAAAAGCAAAAACATTAAAAAAAAACTCGGTACAGCAATGAAGCAAATGGAAAAGAGCAATAGGAGCAAAAGTAAGAAATTTAAAGTAGTGCACGAACCATAATGACGAAGGTAAAGTTCATTTCCAGTAACAAAAGTTGGCTCAGAAAAAAATACTTTAAAAAGCCATTCGGAATAAAAATGTTGTTGTCCTTCCCAGCACCTCCGACTAGCACGTTTGGCTACGTACGGTGCAAAAGAAGATCGACATACGTACAATATATTTTTGGTGATTCTTACATGAGTATGCAAACAGACGGAGGATATGTTAGGTGCATATAACCAAACTCTGGACTCTAGAGGTATCAGCTGGCAGGATATAACTTCCTGTAGCATCACTTTTTGGACAGCTCCTTCTTCTTGGTATCCATAATAAAGAGTTTTCTTTGAGTGAGATTGCGTAAATATATAAATGTGTCGTTAAACCCGCCACCACCCGAGACAGCCAATTAGTAGTAAGGTTTGTCACGTAAACAAAACGCGCCAATTAGTTACTACTTCAGCACACCGGTGTGTTGGAGAGTAAACCCACAACATTTACAATTCGGGTACGACGTTTCGCTGGTGATTACAACCAGCCTCATCAGGCGACTAGCCAGAATTGTGAAGAATATTAGTCGTGAAAACCCACGTGCTAAACCGACTACCAATCTTGGGATGTCACGGTTGCCCGTGATTGGCCTGTTGATGAAGCAATGTCCTTATCACCTGGTCATTCAAAAAAACTTCGGGCAACAGTCGCTATGCTACTGCCGAGCTAAATGTGTTACGCGTGGATGTCGGTTTAAAATCTAAATATGTATGCTTACGTAACTTTCTGTCGATTCACGGGTCTCCCACTTACATAGCCAGCAAGTTGTTTTTGTACCTACTCCAAAATGTAATCCATCGGGAGGTGATGGGGTTAAATCAATGTAAAAGCTCTAATTTTAAATAAAATCTAAGTGTTATTATACAGTACACGCGTGTTTTGCAGTGCTCATTTTCGAGGTACAGGCGCAGCCCTGCAGTGTCCTGTTGCAGCCGCTGTTGATGAAAGGGCCCCCTCTCAGGGGGAGCTCTGGAATATCCCATTTCATCGATGGTTTTGTGCCTAGGTATCTTGAAAAGGTTTTGTCGTACCCACAATTTACGCCACCGTAATCGACCTGACGATCGATCGACTATCTTTGTGCCTATTTATATTTCAGAGTGGTCAGAGGCGGTGGTGTGACAGGCGAGAAATGTAATAAACTTGTGCTATTGTTTCAATCGCCGCGCCCGGAGATAGAATCAAACCGGCCACCTCTGGATGGCGAGTCTGCTGCGGCCAGCCTTTTACACCATAGCACCTTGTAACTAATCCAAAGTCTCACTTATTCTCTGGTGACAGCCGAGAGACTTTTACCTTCAGACTTAAAGACGTTTCAGTTTTATGATTGTGGAGAGTTCGAGGGAGTACATTTTACAGTTGGGTTTGTAAGATAAACATTTTCTGAGGTTATTTTGTTATCAAGAAGGACGTAAGCTTTGCCGTGCTGCCTTGTTTGCCAAGTCTTAAAATCAATGATTAGCAGAATGCGTTCTCTGTCTCCACATGTTTTAGTCCACCATCCTCTGATTTCACACAGAATCCCAGACTTTGAGTACCAGAGGGGCCCAAGAATATTGAATCATTGCCAACAGGGCTCGCTTCTTTCCTGCACCCTTCAAAAGGAAACAGTGATTCGTAGTAAGTGTTGTTTTAATGTCGTGTTTATATATCTGGCCAAGATTCAACTGAGCCCGATGTCGTGCCCAATACAGAACCCACGTCTCATTAAACACACGATCGATCACTAGTCATACCGTATGGATCCCTTGTTGCATCAGATGCACCATCTTCTTCTCGTGTGATGTAGACCTCTTCCAATCGCTTGGGATCACAATGCGAGACCAAAGAGAACAGCACGTGCGTCGGGGGTGAAATGCCAAGCGAGGGAGTGCAGAGTTGTTTAAAATGAGTGGCCTTGGGTCAGGACGTGTCGTTGAGAAGGGATGGTGGCCAGAGGTGAAGGCTGCCGAACAGCGGCAGCCGAAGGAGGAAACGTGCCTGTGGCGACGGGCCCGCACGCGGAGATGGAGTGGCGAAATGAGCTCGAGTTTTAGGAGCGAGAATTATTGTCAGGGGATGGCGGCAGCTTCATCCAGCAGTGGATAGAACATTCCTGGAGAACAAAACAACAACAACAACGTACAAAGATGTGGGGTTATGAAAATCCGTTTGAGATCGAGTCGCTATTTCAAGGGGACTCTGGTTACAAAGACAAATACGGAAATAAAAAAAACGAAACCCCAAATAACCGAGGCGAGACTCACGGGAAATTTTTAACCCGTACTGTATTATCCAGATTGTAAGACGCTCCAGAAAGTAAGACGCATCCCAAACTTGTTCCCTGTGTCAATAAAGTGATAGGAATGTGGTCTCTAACACACACAACCTATCGGAGTATTAGACGCACGCGCGCACGCACTCCCAACTTTTCTCAAAATAACAAAAAGTGCGTCTTATTATCTGGAGAATACGGTAGCAGGAAAATATCAACCTCACAAAGAAGTGTACACATTTCAGTAACTGTAGCGCACTCGTTTGTGATGATTGATGACGGCAATGCTGACTTGTCACGTTGGAAAGAATATAAATGGCTGAGTCTGGCTTAGCCGGACGTGTGAAATTGATGGGTGGTGGTGTAAGAGGGGAATTCGAAGTCGCTTTGCTGTGGGGAAGTGAAAATGCCACGGAATTATCCAAAGCAGTTGATGCCCGCAAACCTTCCCCGGCGTTTTTTTAAATAAATAAAATATAACACAAATTATTAGATGATGCCGCTGCTGCGTTGGCAGTGGTGCAAAAACAACACACTCAACACGGTCGTCAATAACACCGCGACTTTAAAAGGGGGGGAAAAATAAATATACATACATTATGTATAGATAAGTTTTTTCTCGCAGTGTTATTGACGGAAAATGTTGTCTTTTTTTTTTAGGGACGCGCGCTAACGTTTAAATAACTGCGCCAGAGTGGCGAGTGAAGCTTTCATAGCCTCCTCAAATATTGAAGGGCAGCGAATCCGACGCCCGTGAGAGGCGCGTGTGAGTTGCACGGCGTGAGACACCCCCCGAGTGAGTGAGGCTCTGCGTTGAGATTTCTCATCTCCCCCCCCCCCCAACTCCAATCCCACCACGCGCCGCCTCCCTACCCCCTACCCCCCTCCCACCACCGTCCCCGATGCATACGTGGCACCAATACACCCACAGGCAGCAGCGCGAATTCTAAACGACTCCCACATTGCCGATCATTAAAATCGTATAAAATCATCATCGTCAGCAGTCATGGCCAATCCACTGCTGGATGAAGGCGTCTTCAAGACGCATCCGCCTCTCGCCATCCTGCGCTCTGGCGAACCCGCACAGCACCTTGCACATTAACTAATATCATCGCTCCATCTCCTCCTCGGTGGTTGCACTCTCGGACGCGTTCCATTCCTCAGCCGCCTCTCCCTTATTATGATTAGTATTATGATTAGTATTATGATTAGTATTATGATTAGTATTATGATTAGTATTATGATTAGTATTATGACTCTCGACCCTCCGAGCCGGGACGCGTCCTGTCCATGCCACACCGACTTTAGTTAACAGTTTAAATGCCATGAGCTTCGCGTGTTCTCACATCCACGTTGCTACTCTTTCTGCCAATGTAAATCGAAGCAAGCAAAAATAACATATTTCAAATATATATTAGAATCAGAATATTCATTTCATACTGGAGGAATCCGATGAGCTATAAAGCTCTGTTTTCACATATGTCCAGTACATCCCTTTATCAATCCACTGCTGGATCAAGGCTTTCACACGCCTTTCGGTTGTATTTGGGGGATGTTTGACCATAATTCACCACGCTGGTCAGTGCGGGCTCATGAAGGGCTGGGAGGCCCAGGACAAGTTCAGATATCGCTCGCCACTCACTGATGTTGGCCGTGGCCGGGAATCCAACTCAGGTTTCCAGGTCCATTGCGGCAATGCGCTAACCACCGCATCGCCACTCCACCCCGTTACCTGCACAGAGCTCACCGTTAAAATGCATCCTTACTTTGGAGTCGATGCCAAAATAAACAATCGATTAGAGATCCCAATGATGATTATCGAGAGACCTCCCCTTCTCTCCATGCTCTCCGATGGTGATGATGGTGGGGATGGTGATGATGGCGGGGATGGTGATGATGGTGGGGATGGTGGTGATGGTGGGGATGGTGATGATGGTGATGATGGTGGGGATGGTGATGATGGTGGGGATGGTGATGATGGTGATGATGGCGGGGATGGTGATGATGGTGGGGATGGTGGTGATGGTGGGGATGGTGATGATAGTGGGGATGGTGGTGATGGTGGGGATGGTGATGATGGTGATGATGGTGGGGATGGTGATGATGGTGGGGATGGTGGGGATGGTGATGATGGTGATGATGGCGGGGATGGTGATGATGGTGGGGATGGTGGTGATGGTGGGGATGGTGATGGTGATGATGGTGGGGATGGTGATGATGGTGGGGATGGTGGGGATAGTGATGATGGTGATGATGGTGGGGATGGTGATGATGGTGGGGATGGTGGTGATGGTGGGGATGGTGATGATGGTGGGGATGGTGGTGATGGTGGGGATGGTGATGATGGTGATGATGGCCAGGATGGTGATGATGGTGGGGATGGTGGTGATGATCACGTGCACCTCGCCTGCTTGAGCCGCTTCGACTGTGTTAACAACCTCGGACGACGCTGAATTTGCAGATGCGCCCATCCGATTAGCGCGGTTGGCTACGTACGGTGCGAAAGAAGTTCAGCATGCAGCACATACAGGCGCGTCACGGAAGATGATCGATCCTCCAGGTGTGTCGCTCCTCTCCCGTGTCAATCCCCAGTGTCTATCTCCCATTGTCTCCCTGTCCCCTATATGTTGTCTATCTCCCATTGTCTCCCTGTCCCCTATATGTTGTCTATCTCCCATTGTCTCCCTGTCCCCTATATGCTGTCTATCTTCCATTGTCTCCCTGTCCCCTATATGCTGTCTATCTCCCATTGTCTCCCTGTCCCCTATATGCTGTCTATCTCCCATTGTCTCCCTGTCCCCTATATGCTGTCTATCTCCCATTGTCCACGTCCCCCACCCACCCACCGGCTGTCTCCCCGCTCCTGCAGTGCCGCCTGTGTCCACGGGAGGGCGCTGCGCCCCGCGTCTGCGCCACCACCGCCACCGTCGTCGGCTCAACGTCACCGGCCGGGTCCAAGCTCCACTTAACGGGTTGCGAGGCCGGGAGCGAAGTGCAGCCGGTAACGCGAAACCACCTCAACCACCACCACCACCTCAACGACCACTAGCAGCATCACCACCACCACATCAACCACCACCATCATCACCACCATCACCACCAGCATCACCACCACCACACCGCTACCGTCATCACCACAACACTACGAGCGGCAGATAAATTATCATCGGCGGCAGCAGCACGCCACCACCACACACTAACCACCACTACCACACACTAACCACCACCACCACACACTAACCACCACCACCACACACTAACCACCACCACCACACACTAACCACCACTACCACACTAACCACCACCACCACCACACACTAAGCACCACTACCACCACCACCCACTAACCACCACCACCCACTAACCACCACTACCACCACCACCCACTAACCACCACTACCACCACCATCCACTAACCACCACCGTCGGCGTAGCATCACCGCGACTCGACCCATCGCCTCCTCCTCAGTCACGAACTCCACCATGGCGCTGCACGTTCGTGACCCGGACCCCCATCGCTGCACCACCACCACCACCTCATCATCATCATCATCGCAGCGACTGCTTTCCCTCATCCCCAACATCACCACCACCATCGTCATCATCGTCACCATCGTCCTGGGTGCCGTCACCTCGTCACCCATGGATCTCGGCCCCACGAGGCGGCCCGAGCCTCATCTCAGCTTCTCTGGACCTGGGCTCGACCACGAGGATGGGGTGATGGCGAGATCGTGGCTTCTGCTTGGAAGTGAGCTGATCATCACCACCACCATCATCATCACCAACATCATCATCATCACCACCACCAACATCACCACCACCAACATCACCACCACCAACATCATCACCACCAACATCAGCAGTGCAAGTCTCATCAGCAATAGCAGCATCACCATCAGCAGTACAAGTCTCATCAGCAGCACAAGTCTCATCAGCAGTGCAAGTCTCATCAGCAGCAGTAGTAGCAGCACCATCAGCAGTACAAGTCTCATCAGCAGTACAAGTCTCATCAGCAGCAGCAGTAGCAGCATCAACATCAGCAGTACAAGTCTCATCAGCAGTACAAGTCTCATCAGCAATAGCAACATCACCATCAACAGTACAAGTCTCATCAGCAGTACAAATCTCATCAGCAGCAGTAGCAGCATCACCATCAACAGTACAAGTCTCATCAGCAGTACAAGTCTCATCAGCAATAGCAACATCACCATCAGCAGTACAAGTTTCATCAGCAGTACAAGTCTCATCAGCAGCAGCAGCATCAACATCAGCAGTGCAAGTCTCATCAGCAGCAGCAGTAGCAACATCACCATCAACAGTACACGTCTCATCAGCAGTACAAGTCTCATCAGCAGCAGTAGCAGCATCACCATCAGCAGTACAAGTCTCATCAGCAGTAGCAGCATCACCATCAGCAGTACAAGTCTCATCAGCAGTATAAGTCTCATCAGTAGTGTAAGTCTCATCAGCAGCAGCAGTAGCAGCAGCATACTTCTTCGTCAGTAGCAGCAGTAGCAGCACTATATAATCAATACTAACAATGGGTTGTCATCAACAGACAGCAGCAGCTGCATCATCAATAGCAACATCGGCAGCAGGAGGGGCATCAATAATCACCATCCTCGTCTTGATCTGTTACTATTGATTATCACATTGCTTTGTCGTTGCATCTGAGTGCCGATAAAATGTATAACATTTTGTGTTCAAGTTAACGCGAATCTGGACCGTTGTCTGTCACAGAGTGGTTCTCCAAGTGATACATTTATCGCCCACGGAGGAATTTCGTTAATGATGATGGGCTGTATCAATGGACATTGCTCTGCAACCACAACTTTTACTCGTAATTTGTTTACTAGGAGCCGAACTCTCTAACCACCGCACACCCATCCAGCCCCAGGTGGATGGGTGTGCGTCGTGGAATGAATCGCGGCCTGAGATTTGTCAAAGGTCATCAACCCGAGCCGTGGACTCGCCTGCCACGTCACTCGGGCATGGCCACATGGAGCCTCTCCTCCACACAGCGGCCACATGGAGCGCCACTCCACAGCTGTCTCTGGCCAAATCCGCGGCGTGCTTTCACGACGACACCATTCCGTTGTGCTGTACTTATGCTCCGACGTCTGTGGCACCCCCACCCAAGGCTTCACCACCCACACGCTTCAGCACATTCACCAGCGTGGCGTGGAAGTGTGATCACAATCCCCAAGCCCCCTCCCCAACGAGCCTGTAATGGCGTGGGGGTGGGAGGAAGGGCCTCCATGCGAAAATAGGACCTACTTGGCACCTGTCATGGGAACGTGGAATTTACATGAGCGGGTCGGGGCTACCAATGACAGAAGATGTGGGACCACCCCCTCCCTCCCTCCACGTGGCCGGTTTGACAGCTCGAGTTTAGACTTTGGCTGAGCCACCGCTTGACAGTACTTTTGAGATAATAAATAAAGTGTTACTGTACATGCTTTACATCACGTGGCCAGAGTGCGTTCCCTTTACTGGACGTGCAGTTACTGTGTTTGCATGTAGTCCGGTAAACGGCTTGGAAGCTCACTGCCCGTCATCATCGTTGCGATGGTGGGCTGCTAAAGTGGGTACCAATTTGTGGAAAGTCAACAGAGACCGAGCCCTGCCATAAGAATGTGGAATGTCCTTCATTGGATCAGGGTTCCCAACACAAATGATTGAGCACCACGCATGCCAGCGCTCGGTCAAGCAAGTTGACTCGTTGGTTTGAGTTGCTGATGTGTTTATCACAATGCACTGTTGCTGCTGCATTGCCAGCCTCAGTGAGTCTCAAGACTCCTTTTTCAAGAGGGCCCTGCATTCAGATGTTTGGCCAGTCTTGTTTTGTTATTGGCGTATTGGAATATCTGACGAATACCTATGCATACAGTGCGAGGGGAAAACACTCAAGGAATCTACGCAAATGGATAATTACAATCCAATTTGTTGTGCTTGCCATCTGGCCACTGCTGAACCCACCGGGTTGGGAGTGTTGGAGAACATGATCTCGCCACGATCCACAAACCGTGCCACCGGAAATCTTGAAGGCAACTTGTTCTGTCTGAGGATGTCCCAGCACATGTCTTATTGAAATACAACATTTAAACGAAAAACTGTAGAAGAAGAAGAAGAAGTAGTGAAATATAGACAAAACAAAATTGTCCTTAATTGGAGACGTTTCGTTTTTCTTCGCGTGTCCGTCCGCGCAGACGCCATGGTCACCTCTGAGCAGGCGCGCCTGGTGCCGTCGCTCCGGGAGCAGCACGGCTCCGTGTGGACCCGCAACCCCGTGGCACTGCCGCACTGGGAAGTGGAGGTGACGCTGCGCGTCACGGGGACCGGCGGCGTCGGTGCCGACGGGATGGTGAGCGGTGGCACCGGCTCGCACGCTCGCACGCACGCACGGCTCACCGGCCGTGAGCGGGAGGGAAGGGGGTTGGGAGGTGGGAGGTGGGGGGGGGGGGCGGTACCCAGAGGGGCACATTTTGGAGGGGGCAAATCATTTTGGTAAAAAAAAACAAGATCGATTTGGCACATACATGAAGCTTTTGTCATGCAGTGTTACGTGTATCTGAAATTAAATTTTCGTCGAGAATTGTGTTTTACCAATTTACAGTTTGACATGGGTGAAGATGCTTTGGCGTCGCTTTAAAACTCACGGCTGTCGTTAGACGCTCGTGATTCGATCACTTTGTCACGATTTGGGTCCACGGTCTAAATCGCGAATAACAACTATTTTCGTCTCTTTTCTTCTATTCCAGTAGTCTTAAGGTAACATATAACTGCATATTGTTACACTCGGATCATTGCTTTCTTGTGTGAGGTGCAAAAGTGCTTGCCAAGCCACCAACATTGGTGTCATTGTGGTTTAGTGACCTGTGCAACAGGTATAAACGTTTAGACCCCTCGCCTCTTACATTCAGAAACGCTAAACATCACCACCATCATCCTCAAGCACAATCAACGAGTAAGTCCATGCACCAAGCATGTTCTTACCCTTGCACAGAGAGACCCCTTTGGTGATGGGTGAAGGGTGTTGAGGGTTTAACCTTTGCATTAAGTCAAGGCCGCTTTAAGTGCGTGTCAACTGATGAGCTCATTCCTCAGAGTTGGCACCACATGATGCGGAGGACGCCGATTCTTTCCACAACACCACAGTCGTTTTCCGCTCACTCTGCGGGAGTGACCGAAGGGCCCTTTGTTGTTCGCTTGGTAACAAAGTGGCGGGATGTTGCCTACCTCGCCTGGTATTCAGGAGGTCGTGCGTTTGATCCCCGACCCTGCCGTTTGTATATTTGGAGTTTGCGTGTCTCTATCCCCCATGGTCGCCTGGATTTGTATCCGTGTCCTCCTGTTTTTGCATTTAGAATATTTTACTGCTATAAATGTCCACGTGATAAGCCACTTCTATGAGCGATCATTTGTGATAGCCAGGTCGCTTCTGAAAACGAGTTACATAGCTCGGTGGGCCTTCCCTGGTAAAATACAAATTTGTTTAAATATTTGACTTAAAACTTTCGTGACTGCAGGAATTCATATTCTTTGTTTCTTTCAGTAAAGTTCACGCAGATAGAAAAAAATAATAATGAAAATAAAGTGAATAAAAATAATAAAAATACAATAAAATTAAACGTAATAAAAACAAAAAAATAGTTTAGTACGGAGTGGACCTTCGGTGAACATATAAATATTATCGGCGCCGATGGACTCCCCGCCATACGGAAGAAGAAGATTTCTCGCAATCCCAGGCCACACCTCTCCCGTGCCTCAGCGGCTGCGAGATGACGCAAACGTCCCGCTTCAGGTTCTGCTCTCTGCCGCGCCGACAGCGCCGGCCTCTGCTCACATCGTGGGGCGGGAGCGGGCCGGAGGGAACGGAGTCGGTTCGATGTCGCTGCGAAGTTTTTTTCTCGCTGGTGCTGCGTGGCTCTCCGACGCGTGTCTGGGTTGTGCCGCGCGTCGACCGGCAGTGCTCACCGAGTCGTGTTTGTGCTGCAGTCTTCTTCACGGATTTTTTCAGAGGCTGGGCCGCTTTCGCCGATAAGACACCACCAGCGTGAAGGGCCGCCACGCATTCGAAACCATTGGGGGTTTAATTTTCGATTTAAAGCTTTCGTGACTGCAATGATTCATCTTCTTTGGTTCTTTCGGTAAAGTCACGTAGAATGGGAATAAAATAATAAATTGATAAAATAAAATAACACAATAATATTCTCACGACGTTTCGGCCACAACACAAGCGGCCTTCATCAGGTGAAGGGACGAGACTGTCTGGTAGGACAGCGCTGGAGTGAAAGAGCCACGTTCAGATCACGACCTTTAAGCTGTGTGAGAGGAAACAAAGCGCCTTGACAAAGGAATTAGCATATAATTTAGCATTGAAATGGCTGAGTGATTAGCTTGTGACTGGTCACAGAAATAGCTATGTTAAAAGTTAAAGCATACACATCCGCAGAGGCACCCCTTGACAAAGGAATTAGCATAGAATTTAGCATTGAAATAGCTAAGTTAAAGCATACACATCCGCAGAGGCACCCTTTGACAAAGGAATTAGCATAGAATTTAGCATTGAAATAGCTGAGTGATTAGCTTGTAACCAGTTACAAACTAATCACTCAGCTATTTCATGCTTTAACTTTTAACATAGCTATGGGGGGGGGGGGGGGTTACTGCGATAATCAGCGACTGGGCGAAGACCGTCGGCACGCTTCTTCACTTGAGAGTGCGACTTAGCCTTGGGTGGCTGAAACCTGGGGCTTGAACCCAGGGTGTCAGCGGCGCTGGCTCAGTTTCTGCAACTCGGACATTGAGTCACCTGGCCACCTCGCTCACCGGCGTTCTAGATCTCGACGCTGTTTCTGACAACCCCTTGTCTCTCCCCGTCCATCCGGGTGCCCCCCCCCCCCATCTCTCCTCCGCGCAGGCCCTGTGGTACACGGCGAACCAGGGCTCCGAGGGACCTGTGTTTGGCGCCGCCGACCGCTGGAACGGGCTGGGCGTCTTCCTCGACTCCTTCGACAACGACGGCATGGTGAGGCCCGGGGACACGGAGAAGCCCAGGAGTTTGTGTCGACGCTCTTCTTGTGTTCCCCTCTAGCGTCCCACTGTCTTCTTGTGTGCATCTCACACAGTTCAAAGTCTAATTCTGTGTTCCCAGCTCACTGTCATCTCTCTTCCCCCACACCTCCGGTTAGCAGGGTTGGCTACGTACGGTGCGAAAGAAGTTCAACATACATACATACATAGTGTCCTATGTCTGATGCTAACTTGAACTCTGTCCCACATTTGCCATGCATCTCTATCGCCATTTGTCTCACTTTCCACGATCTCCCTGTGCCATCACCATAACCTCATCTCACCAACCCCTCAGGTTCTTAATTATAAATCACTACCCCCATGTCTCCATCTCCACGTGTCCTCATTTTAACTTTGAACCACAGTGTGTTAACTCACTTTCACAGGCACTCACCCACACACGCACATTCACCCACTCAATCACACACTCATTCACCTTGATCACTCTTGCAAATGAGACTGCTATGCTGCTCTCTTGAGTTCTCAGCTGGTTTAACAAAATCATCTTGAAACTTGTACCACGGTTATTTAAATGTTACATCGCGATGTCTCGTGCCACGGTGGCGAGATGTTGACTCCCTCGCCTGGTATACAGGAGGTCGTGGGTTCAAACCCAACCTTGATGATACCTGTACATTTGGAGTTTGCGTGTCTCTCTCCCCGTGGTCGCGTGGATCTTTCTCCGGTTTCTCCCTCCACATTTAGAAACATGCGTTTAGAGAATTTGACTGCTATACATTTGCACGTGATAAGCCACTTCGTTGAGTTATCAGTTGTGGCCAGGCCGCTTCTGAAAACGAGCTATATAGCTCAGTGGGCCTTACCTGGTAAAATAAAAAAAATATAGTTTTAAAAAGTCTCACCGTCTGCCCATGCCCTCGAACGCTGCGAACTCTGTGTGGGCACTTCGATGATCGTGAGTGACGTGCCACGCCGCTTGTCTCGTTGGCGACCACAGAGGAACAACCCGATGGTGCTGGCGCTGGTGAACGACGGCACCCAGAACTACAACCACCAGACGTGAGCGCCCGTGGGAGGGAGCGTGCGAGGTGTCAAGGAGGCTATGCAGGAGGCTGTGTCGGCCGTGTGTGGGCAGCTGGTGTGTTTGGATGGGTGTTAGGTGTGTGTAAAGAGGCTGTATCGGCTGTGTGTATGCGAGTGAGTGGTGTGTACAAAGGGTGTAGCTGGAGGTGGTGCGCGTTTGCTCTCGTGATGTGTTAATTAAGCCGCGTGTTTGTTCCGGTGAAGTGCTAATGCTGTAGAGTTCAGCTACTGGTGTTGAACAACACACTACAAACTGCACAGCAGAGAAATTCTAAACAATGCAAATGTCACGATAAATATAAGAGACAACAAGAAATATATTTTTTTAATAGAACTTGTCAGCTCGGGGCAGGGGCGGGGGGGTGCAGGGGAATTTGCTCGGGAAAGGGGGGGGGGTGCGGAAGGTCCCCCCCCAATTGTCACGTGTCTCCACTCGCTCCCCTTGCTCCCCCACGATCACCACCCAGGGACGGCATCACGCAGGCGCAGGGAAACTGCGTCCGGGATTTCCGCAACAAGCCGTACCCTGTCCGTGTCAAGGTCTCCTACTACCGGAGCGCGCTGACGGTGAGTCCGCACGCCGAGGGCGCTGAGCTTGGTCCTTCTTTGCTTTTGTCATTTTGGTGACCCAGGGTTCAGTGTTGAGCACAAAGAGCGACTCCTCTCTCCTGGTCTCTTTCAGTTCTCACCCGGTTAAACGAAACAGAAGGAGACATTGAATGCTGGGGGTGTTACGTGTTGCGTGTGCGGTGTTACGTGTTGCGTGTGTGGTGTTACGTGTTGCGTGTGTGGTGTTACGTGTTGCGTGTGTGGTGTTACGTGTTATGTGTGTGGTGTTACGTGGTGCGTGTGTGGTGTTACGTGGTGCGTGTGCAGTGTTACGTGTTGCGTGTGTGGTGTTACGTGTTGCGTGTGCGGTGTTGCGTGTTACGTGTTGCGCGTGTGGTGTACGTGTTGCGCGTGGCATGTTTGTATGGTGTCTGCAATGTGCATGTGTGTGTGTGACGCGTGGTGTGCTGTGGTGGGGTGTGTGCAGGTGATGGTGAACTCTGGACTCACGCCCGACACCGAGGACTACGAGCCGTGTGTGGCTGTGAACAACGTGGTTCTGCCTCCGCAAGGATACTTCGGCATTTCCGCGGCAACTGGGGGTTTGGCCGGTACAATACAGCTTACAACACGCAGGCTTACCAGCTCAGATGCTCACCATTTCACAGGCTCACAAGCTCATCAACTCGCACGCTCATCAACCAGTACATTAAATTACTCAAAAGGTAACTAATTCAAAGGCACATCAGATTACAAGCTCAAAGACTCACCTGCTTACAGGCTTACGATGATGATGATGATGGTTTTATTGATGATGACGGTAATGACGATGATGATTGTGATTATTGTGATGATAACGGTGTCCCGTGATTGTTCCGTCACAGATGATCACGACGTTCTGTCGGTGCAGCTGTACAGCCTGGTGGAGCCTGGCCAGGAGGAGGTGAGTGGCAATGGTGGTGATGAGTGGTGGTGGTGGTGAGAGGCGGTGGTGGTGAGAGGCGGTGGTGGTGAGGTGTGAGTGTATGCGGCGTGGTCGCATCGACTGGGCTCACAGATGTCCCGTGTCGCTCGTGCATGGTGTGTGTGCGTGTGCATTATATGATTTGTGCGTTGTTCATGTGTGAGTTGCGTGTAGTTTTTGTGCTGTTTGTGAGTAGTGCATGTATATGTTGAGTGTGGTTGGCGTGTCGGCTGTGTGTGGTTTGTGTTACGTTGTGTGCGTGTACATTGTGTTTTGGTTTAATCGTGAGTCACGCACGGTTTGCATTCCTTCTGAATGGTGTGCATCTGTGTGTACATTGTGTGTGTACATTGTGTGTGTCTACATGGTGTGTGTGGTTTGGAGCGAGCCACATGCAGTCAATGTGTTCCCTGTGCGCACGACGTATGGTTAGTGTGTGCGTCACACGTGACGTTATGGTTCCCGTGTTGCTTGTGCGTGATGCTGCACGATGCTAGTTGCGTGCACGCTCCACGTGCCGCACACAAAAGAAGCGGAAGACCCCCCGTACAGCCTGAGCAGACTGTTGGGGCAGGTGCTGTTAGCGAGCGCCCATGAAGGCCGGCACGACACGCACAAGCACACGCACAAGCACACGCACACGTGTATACGCACACGCACACGTGTATACGCCATTTCTCCGTGCGCTCACAGCCGCCGGTGGTTCTCGTGCCGGGCGCTGAGGGACAGACGCTCCAGGATGCCGCACAGGCAGCTGGGCCCGAGGGAGCTGTCAACGCGGGGGCCCAGGAGGCGACAGAGGCCAAGGAGGTGGAGTGGGCCCCGCTTGAGGCCGCCGATGAGCAGAGGGAGGGAGGTAATGGTCAATCGCTCAAACTTCGTGCAGGGCTTCGTTTTAGCTGGGCCTTGTCCGGGTCGGCAACCCGGAAAATATTTCGGCTACCCGGCACACCACATCCGGTATACCTTTCACTACGACTTTAGCTACTTCAGGGTATTGTTAGCGGTGACGCAGGGCATATTCGGTGAGAAATTTAAGCCCTGGCCTTGGCGATTAAGACTTGGCATATTGCACAGAGTAATAGCGACAAAATCACACCGACTACTCCCAATCTCGGGAGTTGAGCCCTGTCCGTACCTAGATGTAGGATTCATTGCTTGCGTGATACACCAGGTGTTATAGGCTTGGGCTATGAGATGGCCAAAGGTTCCTGCGTCAAAATGTCAGCTGTGTGAATCCGTGGCGACCTCTCGCCATGCCCAGGAGCGACCGCGGGAGTCTATGTCGATATCGAGCGCAGCCTGCAGCAACTGCTCGAGGGTCAGAACAAGGTCCACATGGAGATCAAGCAGCTGGGCCGCAGCCTGGGGCTCGTGCTGGAGGAGCAGCAGCGCCAAGTGGACCTCCTGGCCCACACGACCACCGGCCGGCCCGGGGGGGTCAGTCAGGCAAGCAGCTACTGCCACCACCGCCACCGCCACTGCCGATGCAAACGGCAACACTGCCGCTTCACCGCAACCACCAACACCACCACCGCCATGCCCTCTGGCTCCCAATTGTCAGCTATGATCTATTCAGTGCTGGGTGATCGTGATCCTGCCGCTTAACAATCCACCAGAGCACCTGCACGAGAACCGATCTCATCGCTCCGTTGGCTGGCCTCATCCCATCGAGCAGCAGGTCCTGCCCCAGCCCACCACAAACCCTTCTTATTTTTTGCGTGGAGATATGGATATTTGAAGGAGGCACAATGTCCGCTTGCTTATTTTGTTAACCACACACAGACACGCGCCCGTGTGCGTGTTCAAATTGAAGACCTGCAGTCACATTGTTTAGCTCTGAGTTGACAGTAATTTCAAATTGTGTTCCCTGTCCTTAGCGTTTGCTCTGTAGTCACGTGTGTGTGTGTGTGTGCGCACATGCGTGCTTGGGTTGTTTGGAGCGGTGGCGCAGTGGTTAGCGCGCTGCGCTACGAACCCGACGACCCAACACCGGTGACGATTATCTGCAGCGGTCTTGGGCCTCCCCTAGGTCGACTCAGCCTCAATGAGTACCTGGTGCAGTGTGTAAACATCGCCAATGGGGAGACGGGTAGTCGGGCCTTCACAAGTGCTACTCGCTCACAGCACTTGCCCCAAAAGATCTGTTGTCTTCGCGAGTTGATTGATGGACGATTATAACGGTGAGCGATGATGATCCTTCTCACCTTCCCTCCTGTCTCCCCCCCCCCGTGTCAGCCGCTGGGAGGGGAGGCCCTGGAGGAGCTGCAGAGGCACCAGCAGGAGCTGCTGCTGCAGCTCTCGCACCTCCGGTACGCCGTCGGTTGCCGGGCCAGCGCTCGCCACCGTTCACCACATTAACCACATTAACTCCTCGCCAGAGACGACAATTTTGGCCGCATTGTTTCAAGACGAGAAAACTCTACACCGGTATCGATTTTCGATCCCAACCAGTTTATTTGTGCAGTCGGGCAAGGGCTTTTTTTATGTGGAGAGATAGACTGTCATTTCGTTTTTTATGTTATCCACGACACTCGTGGTTATGTTGCGACATAAACAAGGATGCACACACACACTTAAACACAAATACTAACGTATATATATTTACTAACGGTGCATACATGTAAACAAATGTAAATGCACACACACCAACATGAACATAGCACATGGATATCCACACACACACTGATATTGCGTAGGTGCAGCAAACACCTATAAAGGACAACATTAGGACGTGGTGCAACTCGCAACCACATCTGACCACCTTTGCCTCCCCTGTGGTGATATTTTCACAAAAAGTAATTTAAGGCCGAGTCGACCTATGGGAGACATAGAAGCAGTTAACATATCTCTCAGTGACGTTGGTCGTGTGCTGGAATCAAACTCTGGTCGCCGGGTTCTTAGCCCACCGCACACAACTGCTCGCGTGCGTGCGTGCGTGTGTGTGCGTGTGTGTGTGTGTGTGCGTGTGTGTGTGTGCGTGTGCGTGTGTGTGCGTGTGTGTGCGTGCGTGTGTGTGTGTGCGTGTGTGTGTGTGCGTGTGCGTGCGTGCGTACGTGTGTGTGCGTGTGCGTGCGTGCGTACAGGGGTGCGGTGGAGGAGGTGTCGGCACACGCAGGCACGGCGCGAGATGCAGCCGCCGTGGGCAGGGACAACCCTTACGACAGCACGCACCACTTCACCCACATCCGCGACACGCTGGAGCTCGTCAAGCGAGACGTCGGCAGCCTGGCTCAGCGGCCCGTGGTCAGCGTCTCTCCGCTCGCTTCCGTCCAGTTCGGCACGAACATATCAATAATAGTGATAGCATCGTCATCGTCGATGCAGACTGCATCTCTCACAATCGCCGAGTGACACGAGCTGGAAGGGAGCAGCCAGGCGGCGAGACGGCGCCGGCGATTGCCCAAGCTCTGCTGTCCCAAGTTCGTAGTGGCAGCCACGTTGCCTAGCGGCGAGTCAGCTTCCTGCGCCGGTGGTTTAATGCGCCGTTACTTTGATCGGCCCATTTGTGCAATCGGCTGAACGATGTAACAATGACAATACATGTTTCATTTTGAAGGGAGAACCCAGAGAAATAGCAATGGTCAGGGGCCTTTAATTGGAACGCTGACAATCAAGAATGTCGAATCCAATATCTGCCGTGCGGCCCGAGATAACCTTTCGTTTAGAAAGTCGCCGCGGATGGCAATGCCCATCGTACGTCACCGGTTCCCAGGCTACGAGGCGCTTCACACGGCAGTTGTACGTGTACATGTTTATCACGGTTGGCTACGCACGGTGCGAAAGAAGTTCAACATACCTGTTGACCCCGTGTGTGTGTGTGCGTGCGTGCATTCATGCGATCGCAGGAGCAGCCCATGCGCTGCCCGGAGGTGCCCCCCCCACCCTCGTGCCTGCCCCCTGCAATCTTCCTGCTCTTCCTGGCGCTGCAGACGATCGTCATCCTTGGCTTCCTCGCGTACAAGTGAGGACGCGCACCTGCAACCTCGCCGCTCTTTGGTAGACGTGTATGTGAGTGAGTTCCGGATTTTGCGGTCTGAGGGTCCAGGACACAGGAGGATGTGGGAAAGTCTAATTTGCAGGATATGCAGAGAGTGTGGCCAAAAAGCTGGCATACAATACGATTCGTTACAGCTGCAGGGAAAACTGCACGGCACACGGGGTACAACGATGCTTGCCAAGGGTGTACTTGATGTGTTGATGGGACAGGAAGTGCGTGCTCTGCAAAATCGTGACAGGATGCACTGGCAGAGAGACCTGGGGGCACGTGTGGATGGTGGTGAAACGTTGCCGTGTGGATGGTGGTGTAACGTTGCCGTGTGGATGGTGGTGAAACGTTGCCGTGTGGATGGTGGTGTAACGTTGCCGTGTGGATGGTGGTGTAACGTTGCCGTGTGGATGGTGGTGTAATGTTGCCGTGAGGAGCGGTTAGCGCTACGCTGTGCTACGAACCTGACGACCCACGTTCAATTCCTGCTCGCGGCGAACACCAGTGACAATTATCTGAACCGGTCCTGGGCCTCCCCTAGGTTGACTCGGCCTAAAATGAGTACCTGGTACGATGTGCAAACATCGCCGCTAGGGAGACAAAGGCGGCCAGGCGTGGTGTTGGCCACCCACCCCCTCGTGTGCCGTGTCAGCCCTTATAGGTGCTTCCCTAACAGCACTTGCCCCTACAGTCTAAGGCGATACGGGGGATCTTTAGCTTTGTAATGTTGCCTCATCTTTTCAAGAACCAGGGAGACATGACCCCTCCTCTCATGTTTAGTGTTTATATACAATGGGGACTCGGTCTGAAATTGTCAACTTAAATCAAAAATGTAAAAATTCACAGGCAAAGATGTAAAATGAAAGTTGGAATTAGAAAAAATCCATCTTACCTTAAGGGCGTAGTACTGTTTTCCTGGTCACACATGAAACGGGGAGAATTAGCATCTAAAATCCAAGCGGTACACGCATATTTAAGCTATGGCCAATGGCATAAAACAACATCTAAGCGTGGCTTCTCTCACTCCAGCGCTGTCCTCCAGACAGTCTCGTCCCTTCACCTGATGAAGGCCGCTTGTGTTGTGGCCGAAACGTCGTGATTTTTTGTTATTTTATTTTCACCTACGTGACTTTACCCAATAGAACCAAAGAGTATGGATCCTAGCAGTCACGAAAGCTTTAAGTCTAGAATAAAACAACTTAACCGATTTTTTTATAACTTAAAAAGCTTTGCACTTTGTATGCTGTTGACCTTTTGCACCGCCGGTAGCCAACCATGCTAAGGGGAGAAACTTTGGCTCAGTGGATGGTGACATGGATGTAGCAAAATGGCAAGCTTGGAAAAAATGTGTTCCTGAATGTGTTTTATGCAGTCTCGAGTGCGGCCTTGCTTTGTCGTGACTGCGGCGTCACCAAGTCGTGTTGCCAGGTTGTGACCACGTGGCTTCGACCACTGGACTCTCTTCATGTGCAGGAACCACAGAGACGCTGCGGCAAAGAAGTTTTTTTGAACCGCCACAAGCAAGGGACGCAAGCCACCACAGCAACGGGGAACGTTTTCTATCGATTGGTTAAAGTTTAATTGAAAAAAAAAATCGAATTGAAAAAAAACGTTTTCCTTTTTTTTTACAAAAAACGTTGCACTGGGGAGGAATTCGTTGTGATGCCCAGTGTCACCATGGACCGTGTACCCTGGAGTTAGTTTATTTTTTACCGTAGAATATTAGCGGCTGCAGAAAAATGTTTTGCTGCACCTCGTGCCATCCGCATGACAAACCGACTCAGGATGAAGACTGCACTGCAATGTCCTGTTTGTATTTACAAATGTGTGTCTGTCCAGTCCCTTTGTAAGTGGTTCCTGGCGCGTAGAAATTCACAGCAAGTGGATAGATATGAATTTCTCTTTCGGAGGAAACCTGTATTATTTGCGTACGACCGATACGAACGCATGCTCTGAAATGCGACGTGAACGTAATAAGACCGTGGAACTAAAAATTACCTTTCAATGAATCGAAAAACTAAGCAACAAGCATAATGTAAAAAAAACACGAGAAATAAAGTTTAAGTGCATGATATGTTTTGTGTTTGTAACTTTTGTTTTAAATGTCACTGTGTTAATCACCTCTACCATTAGTTAACATGAATACCTAATGAAAGACAAATTACCCTTGAATCACAAAGTATAGCACAATGGCCAATGAGTTATAGCAATGCAAGGCCTCTGTTTATGAAGAAGTTTTATATTTACATTCTATCTCATGGACTAACTGGCAGTTACAACCTAACCTTTATCCAGCGAGAAAACTGATGGTCAAGTATGGTGAAAACATCACCACCTATCAAAACTACAAGCAAGCTGCACCATCTACCCCACAATGCCCTTTGAATAACTTGTGCGGGTTGAAGCTCACCACATCTTTATACATGTTGTATATGTTTACTCTGTAACGAGGCAGCAGTGTGGTGTTTCGAGGTTCAGAGTTGAAATCCAAATCGGGAATCAACTCGGCCAATCACGATTGCTTTGGGGTCGACAAGTTCCCGTTTGGGACGCCACCAGAGATTGAAGACTGCACTGAAATGTTCGTGAGGAATGAAGCCCGATTTGTTTTAAATACTTGATGTGAGAATGGTGGTGGCCTGAGTGTGATTGAATCTAGTATGCGAATAGGTGACTACACATCAAAACAGAAAACAACCTCACTCGCGAGGTGACAAGAACAAAAATTCAACGCATGAAACTCAAAACTGCCCCCCTCCTCCCGACTTGCATGCCGCTGATTGACACACACGGTTTCAAATCCCTCGGTCCAGCGCGGCGGAACACTCGGTGCCCGCACTCGGTGTGACCATGGGCACCGTCAATCGGCACAACATTCAAGGTAATGCAGTTGTTCACGCGTCTGCTGTATATCACATTTGCGTTTGTATTACAAGAGTGAATGCATTGAATGATGAGCGCCAAGCGAGTTTTTCTGAGTCCGAGTACCCCGGCCGCCCCCACCCACTCGTGGCCAAGTCGACAAAAACTACTCGTGGGCCACCGGTGAACTATACAGATTTTTATTGTAATGCTTACATTTAGCTAAATAACATAAGTGTAACATAAAATGTTTTTTTACTAATGTTGAGCATAAGAACTGTTACAAATGAGCAGCTCAAAACCAACGTATATATAGCTATTCAAGTGACTAACGTTTTTTTTTTTAAAAGCCACAGCGATTTTGTTTGATGCAAAACAATAAGAATTACAGAAATGTAAAATGTAATAAAGTACAGATATAGACACGCCTCTCTGCAAGACTGGTCCAAAAACGTCCTGCAGAAACCCCGCGCGATTTCTCTAAAAACGTCTTTGACCACCAAGCGCCAGCCTACACCACACCGTCAATCGCCCGGTGTTCGTTTGCCTCGCCGCGCGTGTACGCGAGGTGGCGTTGTGCGCGTGTGGCGTGCAAACTGCAATCGCACACCATCGTCTGCGTCACCAGCAACAGCATTTACACGGCTAACGTTCCGAAATACAAAAGAATTTAGACAAACCGTACGCAGATATCTGTAATAACTGTAGGCTATTCAGTGATGTGGGGAAAACCATAATTTTACGTCCCACCCAAAAATGTCAGATTTAATGTCGATGTTAAAACACTGCGATATCACCAAGTAATGTGGAAAATGAAAATTGTTCCAACAAAGATTCACATTTTCATGTGCACACTATTTTACAAACATCAATTCTCTTGATTTCCAATTTTAACGGGGCAATCGGAGGAACAGATTCTCGGGGAGTGTGTGCCCGATTCTAAAAAGCAGGTTTAAAACCTTATTATACTGTACTTGGAAAAAATCCATATATTACACATAAAAGTAGAACACTTATTTACAAAAATCCATCCAAAAAGATAGTTTCGTAAGATTTGGCAGCATTACAAAGTAAAATGTGTAACGCGTTGCTGTTCGCCCGCGTACGGAATGCTCCACGAACAAGCCACAGCGGTTTCAACAAATGCGACGCCGACCTAAGGACCAAAGTGGGTGACAAAGACACTGAACAACAACACTCTGCCAGAGAGCATGGCAGGCAACCGGCCACTTCAGTTATCCGGCAGAGGCAGGGCAACCCCGCCCACACGCCACCCCTCACCCCGGTCGTAGCTTTGGTCAAGTTAACGTGTGCCACCCCAAAGGAAAACGTTCACCCTGTGCAAGGACCAGTATCGACGTGCGCGTGCTGTGCACCGTTGTAGTATTAAAACACATTAAATGTGCACGCGCAGAGCTGTTGTGAGAAGTTGTGGTTAAACGTCATATGCTCAATTTGCACCCTCTGGACATGAACAAACGTTGGCCGAGTCGTTTTTTTTTTTGAAATGCATAACGGAGCAGATCTCTGGTGAACGGCAGTCACTTAAATAACACCGCTGTCCCTTTTCGTGACAGCTTCCCGTGTGAACATCCACCGTGAGCAGAGGCGACGGCCACCGCGGCCGGCTTCTCAGCGCCGCACTCCCCCGTTGCCGCTCCCTGCGCCGCACTACCGCCTCTCGAACGCGCTTTCAGTCTGGCATGCAGAGCAAGGCCACTTCCAGCAGTGCGTTGTGCTCCTCACCTGCTATTGTGCTCGATTCCCTTTTGTGTGTCGCAATGGATGCTTTACTCAAGAATATAGATCACAAGCACTGTCCTTTGACAGGGAGGAACAACACCTCACAACACCATTTGTGTATGAACAAGTGGACAAACTGGTGCTTGATAAGCGGTTGCTGTCCGCTGGCCAAGATGACACCCGACAGTTCGCGTGACGGCGTTGCGTGCACCTCGAGCTTCTGACCTGCGACCGAACGAGCGGCCCCAGCCACCCACCCCTGTCGCCTACCACCCCCCCCCCTTCCCCGCTCGTGCCGCATTCACTTGTCGGTGGCGCCGGCCCTCTTGGCCTTGATGAAGGCCATGCCGTGCGTACGCAGGTGCGTGTTGAGCGCCGCCTCGCTGTCGAAGGTCTTGCCGCAGACGGTGCAGCCGGTGGCGCCAGTGCCGTGCTCGGCCGCGGGGTGGTGGTGGGACGGCTGCTGCGTGCCCCCAGGCTGGTCGGCACCGTTTTCCGGGAGGCCGCCGCCGCCGCCGCCACCGCCACTACCCCCGCCGGCCCCGCCGACCAGCGACTCCCCGGTGCCGCCAGCACCGGCACCGTCACCTCCATCCCCACCGCGGTCAGACGAGTCGGTCTCTATGGGGCTGTCGTACGAAGTACAACGGGGATTGTGTTTACGCAATGAGATGTAAAAAAAAGCACATATTGGGTCTAATATTTAGAATATACAGTGAGGGAAAAAAGTATTTGATCCCCTGCTCATTTTGTACGTTTGCCCACTGACAAAGAAATTATCAGTCTATAATTTTAATGGTAGGTTTATTTTAACAGTGAGAGACAGAATAACAACAACAAAATCCAGAAAAACGCATGTCAAAAATGTTATAAATTGATTTGCATTTTAATGAGGGAAATAAGTATTTGACCCCCTCTCAATCAAAAAGATTTCTGGCTCCCAGGTGTCTGTTATACAGGTAACGAGCTAAGATTAGGAGCACACTCTTAAAGGGAGTGATCCTAATCTCAGCTTGTTACCTGTATAAAAGGCACCTGTCCACAGAAGCAACCAATCAGATTCCAAACTCTCCACCATGGCCGAGACCAAAGAACTCTCCAAGGATGTCAGGGACAAGATTGTAGACCTACACAAGGCTGTAATGGGCTACAAGACCATTGCCAAGCAGCTTGGTGAGAAGGTGACAACAGTTGGTGCGATTATTCGAAAATGGAAGAAACACAAAAGAACTGTCAATCTCCTTCGGCCTGGGGCTCCATGCAAGATCTCACCGCGTGGAGTTGCAATGATCATGAGAACAGTGAGGAATCAGCCCAGAACTACACGGGAGGATCTTGTCAATGATCTCAAGGCAGCTGGGACCATAGTCACCAAGAAAACAATTCCAGTCTGTGAAGGACTGGAATCCTGCAGCGCCCGCAAGGTTCCCCTGCTCAAGAAAGCACATATACATGCCCGTCTGAAGTTTGCCAATGAACATCTGAATGATTCAGAGGACAACTGGGTGAAAGTGTTGTGGTCAGATGAGACCAAAATGGAGCTCTTTGGCATCAACTCAACTCGCCGTGTTTAGAGGAGGAGTAATGCTGCCTATGACCCCAAGAACACCATCCCCACCGTCAAACATGGAGGTGGAAACATTATGCTTTGGGGGTGTTTTTCTGCTAAGGGGACAGGACAACTTCACCGCATCAAAAGGACAATGGACGGGGCCATGTACCGCCAAATCTTGGGTGAGAACCTCCTTCCCTCAGCCAGGGCATTGAAAATGGGTCGTGGATGGGTATTCCAGCATGACAATGACCCAAAACACACGGCCAAGGCAACACATGAGTGGCTCAAGAAGAAGCACATTAAGGTCCTGGAGTGGCCTAGCCAGTCTCCAGACCTTAATCCCATAGAAAATCTGTGGAGGGAGCTGAAGGTTCGAGTTGCCAAATGTCAGCCTCGACACCTTAATGATTTGGAGAAGATCTGCAAAGAGGAGTGGGACAAAATCCCTCCTGAGATGTGTGCAAACCTGGTGGCCAACTACAAGAAACGTCTGACCTCTGTAATTGCCAACAAGGGTTTTGCCACCAAGTACTAAGTCATGTTTCTGCAGAGGGGTCAAATACTTATTTCCCTCATTAAAATGCAAATCAATTTATAACATTTTTAACATGCGTTTTTCTGGATTTTGTTGTTGTTATTCTGTCTCTCACTGTTCAAATAAACCTACCATTACAATTATAGACTGATCATTTCTTTGTCAGTGGGAAAACGTACAAAATCAGCAGGGGATCAAATACTTTTTTCCCTCACTGTATTATTAAATGTTACTAAACTTTTAAATGACAGTTCAACTCAAGCGTCGATTCCTTTCAGTCTCATTTGTACTGCTTTGTTTCATTAGCACGAACGTAACGTATCATCTGCATGTATTTTGCGTAAACTGTAATTAACCAATTCTTATAGGCAAATATCGAAGCACACATCGCAAGTGTACGAATACATTTTAATTCGATGAATGAACGTCCCATTGCCCGCCCCCTCTCCAGCCACCCTGAGGCTCCGTGTACCTGGCACGCATGCGGTGCACGATGTAGAGGTGGCGGTTCAGCGACGGTTGCGACGTGAAGCAGAGGCCACACTCGCTGCACTGCCACGCGATGCCATCGGTGCGGTGCTGCGGGATGTGGCGTTGGAACTCCTCGCGCTTCTCCGTCGTGAACTCGCACTTGGCGCACACGTATGGCCGGTCGGGCCCACCGGCCTCGGGGCCGCTCGCCCCGCCAGCGCCGCCCACGCGCAGGCGCTTGACGGGCCGCGTGATGGCCTGGGCGCGGGCCTCTGGCACGCGGCCCTCGTCGCCGCTTCCCCGCCGCTTGTTCCCAGTCTGGATGGGTGGGGGGGGGGGCGGTTAAATGTAAATCAAAGGAAGACGACGCAACACAACTTAACGTGGGAGAACAGATGTGGAGCTCGTGATTCGGTGATACGAGAGGGGAGGGGTAGAGGCAGGGACGAGCCCACGGAGGGACACCAGCGTACACGGTCAGACGGGTACCCACCTCCGGGCTGGTGTTCTCCGCCTCGTCGCTGCCGGCGCTCATGCCCGGCATCTGGGAGAAGTCGGGGTCCTTGATGCCGTGCATCAAGCGGATGTGGTTCTCCAGCATGAAGCGCTTAGTAAACGTGCGCTTTGTGTCCTCGCAGTACCTGTGCTCGCCACGGGGAGGGAGAACGTCGGAAGGGTTGCAGGTGCAGGGACAACGCCACCACCAGGGTAGCTCATGGCAAAGTAATAATTTCCCTCCCCCCACCCCTACAGCGATGTTGATGTGTCACAATTTGGGATCAATGGAAGAATCGACAATCTCGTTGGCACTGCGTTTTCCTTTGTCGTGTCTCGTTAGTACGGTTGTGTTTGCTCCATTTACCTAAAAGGTATAATGAGCATGCAATGCAATCATAACAGGGATAAGTTAAAAGACCACTGCAAAAAATATTTATTTTGATGTTGAAGTTTTGTGCAAAACTAGCTACGACTGGCCAAGACTAATTAGAGAATCTACCGAAATTGAAAGAAATCAAAATAACTTTAACCGTTCGGATAGCTACCGTCTTAGTGCTGCGTCGAAGCGAATCATCAAATAATACATTATTCAAATGCATGCCTACAAAGGGCAGCGTACTTCAAAAGGGATTACCGTTGGTAGGGCTATTTTAATAAACACAATAGACAGGAAGGACAAGTTCAAAGGGCCTGCATAATGCACATGCATAATGTACGTTGCCATAGTAATCCCGCCCGCCCCCGTTATTGTGCAAAAGCACAGAAGGGTGGTCAACACATCTACGCCTCTATATAAGGAACGAAACAGTAAGTCTTCTCCACAAATCTAGCTGTTGCCTGATGAAGCTAGTTGTAATTACTGGTGAAACGTCGTACTCAGATTGTAAATGTTATGGCTTGGCTCTCCAACACACCGGTGTGCTGTACTAGTGACGAATTGGCACGTTCTGTTTACGTGATAACCCTTACTAGTTGGCTGTGTTGGGTGGTGGCGGGTTTTAATGACACATTTATATAGTTAAGCAATCTAACCCAAAAACCTCTATTAGATTATGTAAAAATATTGGTGAATGAAATGGTCATGCCCCAACAGCCCAAAAGGACCAGATACCAGAATGTGATTATAATTTGCATGAATCAGAGGTAATTGACTTGTACGCACACGATTTGGTGCATGTTCCACGATTGTAAGGATCGATTTCAACAAATGTATTGATGCATCGTCACATGCCTGGTAAGTCGCCCATGATCTTCACGTGCACGCAAGGGAATTCTCCACTCGCTAGTGTGTGTGCACGCATGCGCATACGTAAATGTGCATGCACATACACGTGTGTGTGTGTGTGTGCCCATGTGCATGTGAGCTCTCTCCAATTGGTGGTGTTAGCGTGTGCACACAAGTGCATGTGTGTGTAGAGGTGTATGCGCTCTCTCCAATGGGCGACGCTTGTGCGAGTGCATGTGCCTGTACTCACCAGCAGGTGTACACCTTGCGGATGCCCTCGTGGTTGATGCGGATGTGGCGCCGCAGGCTGTGCGAGGAGCTGAAGGAGCGGTCGCACTGCCGGCAAGGGTACTTCTTTATCGGCTGAACGCAGAAAAACACTACATCTATAAAGTACTAAATCCCATATCAAAACAGCAAATTGCTGCTCGGCGCTAGTGCTGTCGGCTTAAAACGTTCTTGAACTGAACACCGACTGTTGTTCTGCTCGTGCATAAAGTGCCTTAAAATTATAATTTACTAAGAATATTTTGGGAGTCATCTGATTATAGATAGCCCACTAAAATAATAGGGATAAATTCGAGAGATAATTGCATATTTCAAAACATCTATTTATCTCCCACCAACCGGAACGTACAAATTACATCTTTGAACTCTCCTGGTACCACTTTGTCCAATATTGCCCATGTGATTTGCTTACAACAATCAACGTTGCATAGTGACGTCTCATCAAATATGCAAGACATTAGAAATCGGTGGGAAATCTATAAATCGATCTCCCTTGTGTATGTCCGCAATAAAAATTCAGCTTGTATGAAATTCAAGCCACGGGACTTGCATTACATGCACGGCACGAGGGTAAAATCTGAATGTGCCCCTCATAATCGGTAACAGATTAACTACATATATATGTTGAACTTGTTTCGCACCATATGTAGCCAACTCTGATGAATGCTCAGTGCCCGAGTTTAATTTTTACATAAATTGTTTTACTTCACAGCGTTTGGCAACGGCGACGACCGGCGAAAAAGTGTGTCGCGACAGCAGCGGCAGCGGCTCACCTTGCCATGGACACGCTTCACGTGGCTCACGTAGACCTCGCGCTCCGAGAAGTGCTCCTGGCACTCGGAGCAGGTCCAGCCGGAGTTCTTCAGCCGCAGGCGGCGCCCGCTTGCCGGCCTGCGGCTGTTGCTCCCGCCGGTGCCTCCACTGCCCGCCTTCTCCGTGGTGGGGACACGCTTGCGGTTGCTGGAGCCGTTCACGCCGGCCTGTCGACCCAGCATTCAGAGGAGACGTGGGGGGGGAGGCATACTGGTCAATAGGGAATGCAAGGATTCACCGGCTCCTCTTTAAAATGTAATTTATTGAAACAAGTTAAGGTAACGGTTCATTTAACAGATGGTTTTTTTTTTCCCACTGTAGTGTCTTTAGAGTCCACAGTGGATGCAGAGTATCCATGAAGCAATTGCATATAAAGTATAACAGACTGAAACATAGATTCCTACGTGCATAACTGGGGACATGTATGGATTCGATTTCAATCGAATAAAATTATTGTTTTATCCGGAGTGGAGTAAACTGAAAATTGCCTCAGTTATTGATTTTTTGTAAAATGGCACCGAGTTGGTGAACATTAGGATAATTAAACCCGCACTTGTCAATACGTGAAATGTTATTCCAAGCATTGCTGATATGCAACTCGAATAATCCGCTCCCGAGAGTTCACTTGCCACAGTTGAGGCGAGGCGTTAAGACTTTACCCTCTCTCCCCTCTCGCGCAAGCTGCTCCAACAACAGAGAGGTGCAATGAGAGGTGGGGGGGGGTGATGCCTCACCTTGGCGTTCTGGTCTCTGGCGCCGTTGGATTTTGCCGAGCTCTGGCTCGGTCCCGTGGGTGCCTGCACACCAGGCAGGTTGGGGGGCCCCTCCGAGCTCTTCAACTTCCCGTGGGAACTCTGCAGTGGAGGGGGGGGGTGCGGGCATGGGGGGCGGTACCACGATCAATCGGTATTCCATTTTTATAACTTTGCACCATGTGGGACGCAGTAGGGATAGTGACAGTTGTATATAATTTCCATTTATGAAGTTAAATACAACAGCTTAGCAGGGCTGAGAGCGCTGATGGCACCTGGAATGGGCGACCATCATAAATGGCAAGTGTTACATTGTGTCAAGTTTCACGTTCAAGGTCATTTTGTTGAACCAGCTTGCGACAGAGAGACCACGATAGCGTGACCAGGGTCACCAACAAAGCTAACAGATATCAAAACTAAAATAGCCACGTCACGTGAGAAATATACAACGTTGCACAAAGACACATCAATGCCAAATAGTTAACTCCCTGCAGCGCAAATCAACTTAGTCAGATTATTCCTAGACTGATCAAAGTACAATTACAGAAATATCGAAAAAATATATATAAGGTAGTCTTTAGACTAACTGTGGGGCTGTGTGGTAGACAGCAGAGGGTACTTTAGCAAAAGGTGATGTTATATTGTACATCTATGCCCACATCTTTATTCTCACACCTTTACCAACTCGCACAAATCAGCGTGGTGACGTATGGACAAATAACCTTCATGACCCATACACCAATGGGAGGCTCTCATCCACCAGTGGACTGACAAAGGATTGTAATATTCAAATATATCAGCATGTCAGGTATACGTTTGGTGTGCAGCAGTAAGGATGTGTATACATCGTAAATGTGCAGGCTGCATAAGAGCATGCAAAAGGTATTTTGTGTGCATGCAGCGAGTGTCAACATAGTTACACATGCTGCACTGCAATCTCAGTGTTCAATTTCTGATCATGCACACACTCCTTCGGGGGAGCAGTGATATCTGAAGCTGGCATGGACCTCCTCTGTAGTGGACTCGGCCTAAAATTATCACCCAGCACGGTGTAAGATATCAACACGGGGGGGGGGGGGAGCAAATGCTCAAAATTGTGCCGTCACCACACCTCTGATGAGCACGGCTGGCTACGTACGGTGCGAAAGAAGTTCAACATACCTACATACATGCTCCCAACCCCCTTTCAAGTCGTGACGGCAAGAGCACGCAGGCACATGATTATCTCCCGCAGTTTATCAGGGCCAAAGGAGGGTTTTGTTTGCATTCCTTCTGAGGAATCTTAGAATAGAACAAACGGAACAGCGCCAGCCAGACCTTAACGTGGTCGAGCATGAGCTGCTTGTGCGCGTAGAGCAGAGCGCAGTCGGGACACTTGAACACGGACACCTTCTGCTTGGCGACGTGCGTGTCAAAGTGACTGCACAGCAGCGTCTGCTGCGTGAACACTGTGTCGCACATGGAGCACTTGTAGATGATCCTGTGTGGGAGCGCACACACGAGGGGAGAGGCTCATGCACGGGGATAGGATATATCGCTCTCCCGCGCAATACAAGCAACCGATTAATGGTTTCTGAAGACATGTGGACCAGAAACCTGGGAACTGACAAAAGAAATGGAGCAAACGCCAAACGGTGCGTAAGAAGCACGGAGAGGTGCAAAGCTTGGAATTTTACAACACACATGAATTTAAAATAATTGATACGTTTCAATAAACTTTCGATGCATTATTGCGTGCCAATTAAGTATTACCATCATTATAATTGTATTACTCCGATTATGAATCGTGTGTTTAAAAAGCGTGTCACTCACTTCGAGTCGCCGACCTTGACCCCCGGGTGCTGCGTGTAGGCGTGCGAGTGGGTGCTCGGTGCCGACTTGAACGCCATGGGGCACAGCGGGCACTTGTAAAAAACCTCGCAGTGCGTGCTCTGGATGTGCGACTTCAGGGCGGGCAGCTCGGCAAAGATCAGCCCGCAGTGCACGCACCTGACGTGTGTGAGCACGACAGCAAAGACAAAGATCCCGTGCCGTACGGCAAGTGAAGACATATTCGAACGAGATCGTCTATTCATTGGCGCGTCCTGCTTTTACAAGTATAGCTGCCAAAAGTGCAGCATCAAAGATTCTTGGATTTTTTTGTTATTTAAAAACATTCCCTGATTTGCCTTAAAAAATGCGCCAATAGGTATTCGAGGTTTGGAAAGGAAATGGATGCATGAAAAATGAACACTGACAATCCCAAAACAGCCTTGGCCTCCGTAAGAAGGTTGAGAGTAATAAATAATGTTTATGAGGCTGAGCGGCAGTACAGTGGTTTGCGCACTGCTCGGCAACTCGTGTTTGATTCCCGGCCGAGGCTGATGAGTGATTTGTGAACCGGTAAGTGAAGTTGGAGAACTATTAGAGAACTCTGCAGAGTGCCAAAATTATTACCCAGGGCAGAGTTATTGATGCGTGTCGAGTATAATGAAAACAAAATCCACAAATTCATCGACATTTCTCCGTTATTTTGCTTCAATGTGGGAGAGCACATCTTTTCTTTTTTCGCAGGCTACAAGCATTCACCAAAAAGAGAAAACACGGAGAACGGCACCACCAAACAAGGGAACAGAAGGCGGCCGTGCGAATGTGGACTCGGGCAGAGACCTCACCTGTATCCGACTTTGCGCGTGTAGTGCAGGCAGATGTCCTTAATGTGCGACTGGAAGTGCGATGAGCGGCACACGGCGCCACATTCGGGGCAGGTGTACGGCGACTTGTGCTGGTGGATGCGCGAGTGTGCCGCGAAGCTGCACTTGTTGGGCAGCAACATCTGGCACACCTGGCACGTCTGCACGGGCAGAGCCACGAGCGTCAACATTCAGCGCAGCAAACGTAAACAAACAAGAGCGACGGTCCTGCCAACCAAATCACCCGAAATGCACAAAATTCCATCAGATCTCAGACGCTACCCTGGCTAGAAAGTGGATGGGAAACCAGTGTTTTCCACATATTCTCTATCTAACCGACGAGAAGGAATGATAATCCTGACTTGGATTTGCAACATGTTTGTCATGCGTAAAAATATAATTTTTGTTTGTCTCCTCTTTCTAACCGATGATCGAGCATCAACAATTTCACTAAAACTTGTTGGGAAATATTCTTAGCATTGGTCTGGTTACATCTCTAGTGAGTCGCAGACGTACTCTTAGAGGCACATTTATTTAACACCAACACATGGTGTAACTGCCCCTTTAACAGAATAACAACCTATGGTGGTGACCACCAGGCTAACCACACTAATTACAATGTAACTGGTGTAGTTAACCAGGTGGTGACCACCAGGCTAACCACACTAACTACACCGTAACTAGCTACTACGGACCGGGACCACAGCTCGGGTCCAGGTCCACGTGTTGGAGACTCGGAGAACGTAGACGAAGGTTTCTTCAGGTGAACAACAACGCCGGTCCCTCGACCACCTTCCAGAATCCTCGAGCAAGATCTGGACCCCGACCACGTGACCACTCCTAGCCCCTACTTGGGGCCCTTTTGTAGACTTAACCGGTCACGTGTCCTCTCGGGTCAACCAGAGTGCCATGGCCTTTAGTAACCCCATTCCTACGGCCGGCACTCCCACACCCTATCCTATACGGCTGGCACTGCACGCCCAGCGTGGTGCCACCCAGCGCTATCAATCAGCGTTGACCGAGCCCCTCTAGGGCCGGTACTACACCCACACCATAGTGGTATCCGCGATGTCGTTACATCGCACGCCGTGCCTCTCTAGGGCCGGCACTGTACAGTGACGTCCCGCGATGCCACTACACATCCTTGAAGGTCGCACAATTGCGTGCGAGGGGCAATATATCTGCTGAGTCACTATTGTATCCTGCAGGGCTAGACATTTATTACAATTCGGATGGCTTTATGAGTTACCTATGATCAAACTCAATTTTAGTGTTTAATACAGGAGAGTCAAAATCTACAACCTTCGAAAATCCGAACCATAATTGCCGTTCCGCGAGTGGCCAGCGGGAGGCGGTATAGTGCCAGACTTCTCACAAACACCCAAGTGAGAACACATCTCCCCAATACTCGCTTTGCCTCCACTGGCTCCAAAATATGGCTACGGACCAGCTTATAGACCCCAGTTGCGAACGGATGAAATTTGTCACGGGAGATTTTTTTTTTGTATCCTTCAACGCATAAAAATAAAATTTGTTAAATTAACACAACGAACGTACACATCTTTAGTAAAGGGTTTGGTGTTACATGTTATTTATGTAGTTTATTGTTAAAAATTTGGTCAGTCCAAATTTGGTCACATTGCATTTATGGCTTTATTTTGATTTCGAAAACGTTTTTTGGTTTGGCCATGTTTTTGTTTATTGTAGTACGGAGTTAGACTGATGGCCTTAATCTTAATTGTCTTGTGGTTGTTGTTGTTGTTTGACTTGCATCCCAATGGGATTTTTGCATACTGCGTTGGTGTACGGTGCTATTTCAGGAATATTTTGATTTTTTTCCTGGATTTTCTGTTTGCACAGTCACAAAGTCACTTTAAGATGTTTTCTTGTTCATGTTTTTGTTTTTTGTTGTTGCGGTTGCACCCGATTCAAGAGCCGAATGGCTCACAGGGCTATACCAAATAAATGAAACTAACTAAAAAACTAAACTAACTAATAGGGATACTTCTTTTTTCCACCCATTAATTTTTTAGGAACCAGATCCAATAAAAATAAACAGCGTTTGTTTGAACAAAGATGACGCCGAATCCCCAGCAAGGTGAGGAGGGACGAGTCGACGAAGGGGGGGGGGGGGGGGGTGCCCCCACCTGGGTGGCCGCGTCGTCCTGCTGCTGGAAGTGCTTCGCGAGCGACGGGCCGTCCACAAACTGGCGCGAGCACTCGAGGCAGCGCGAGCCGTAGCGTGTCAGGCGCATGGGATCCTCCTGCAGGGGAAGGGCGGCCGAGGGGCTCGGGCCATCCGAGCCGCTGATCACACCGCCTGATCCAACGACGACAAACACATACTTTAAATCGACTGCTGAAGGCCTCCCACGCACGCTGTGGTGTCGGCCACCATCACGGGAAGCACTGGGGTTGGGGGGGGTTGACTGCGGTGGTCAGTGCGGATTGACCGAACTTACGAAGCTAGCAAATACGCAAAACATTAAATATTGCGTGCAGATTTTTTCTGGCAATTTGGTCACGGTTTACGAGAAAGGAATTAAGGTTTCATGAAGAAACCACACGAACCAAAACAGGGTACAGTGCGAGTTCAAGTTCAGCGGACTGTGAATTTCACAACAGCGTTAAAAACATACGAATGCACTGGAATTGGAGGTAGTTCGGATTTGAGAAGAGTTAGGGTTTACGTTGTATTACATCAAATTCGATACTCGACACAAATATGTCGTTAAACTATAAACGTTCATCCCACGCTCCCAGAACTGTACTCGTAGACATCAGCCACAACACGAAGATGAACGCCAACGGCGACATCTTTTTTTTTACTAAAAATTTCAAATGTTGGCTCTCGACTGTTATAACAAGTAATTGACCAACTCAATACTGCAGGACTTGGATTTATATAGCATCTAAATGCAATCACAGTTATTGAATACGGGCGTGGGGATCAAATGATGAATCCAATGAAATGAGGAAATTAGAGGCGGACGAGAGGAAATTGGGTTGCTTTTGGGAAACAAAACTTAACAATTTATAAGAAACATACAAATGTACCTGAAGATATTTTCACAGGTGTATGTTTTTTTCAGAAGTCGACTGTATATGGATCAAACACATGGGGCAAATGAAAATGGAACAAGAACTAACAAATGCACACAAACGTACGGAGAGATGGGTGCTTGGAGTTAACACCAAGACAGAATGAGAAGAAACACGTGTTACCGGGAATAAACACAACTAAAACATAAAAAAGCTTCGTGGTGTTGGGATGGACACATTCCAAACTTGGAAGACGACCGATGGACGAGAATGGTGATGGAAAGAAATTTCAAAGCAGATAATGCACCGATGACATCCGCGCAGATGCAGAAGATGATTCGTGACATCACATCGCATCGGGAGGCCTTCATAAAAATGGTTAAGTTTTCGCGGAAAGCTTCACCGAGTGTCAAAATAATTTCAGGGGGCTCCTGCATTGAAATATGTGACCGATAAATAGCACCACATTTGCATTCTTCAAATACCGTGCTACGAATAGCAACGCACATTTAAACGATGCACAAACACACGTGCAAGATCATGGAGAACCCCGCACCCCCACGTACCCAGGGCACTCTGGCTTTGCGAGTTCGCTGCACCACCGGCCCCGGCGGCTCCCGTGGGTGGGTCGGGCAGGCCGGACGACGGGCCGGAGCCCGGCGCCACGGTGGTGAGCTCGGGGCCCGGTACGCTCAACTGGTCGAGGGGCAGCGGCCTCATGACGAGGTGCGAGCACTGCATGACCACGCCGCGCTCCTTGTGCTGGCGCGCGTGCGACAGGAGGCTGCACTTGTTGTAGAAGACGAGGCCGCGCGAGCAGTGGTTGCACGTCACCTCGATGCGCAGGCTGCGGCGGGCGTAGTGCCGGAACAGGCTCGCCTCCAGCGAGAACGAGTCGCCGCACTCGGGGCAGCGGTAGCCGCTCGTCGGGATGGCGAGCCCGGCCGTCGCTGGAGGGGTCAGGTTGGGCGTGTAGAGCGGCACGGGGTTGGCGCCGTTGAGAAGGCGGTTGAAGGCCTCCACCACGGAGCTCTGTGCCCCCCCAGTCTGTCCGGCTGCGGCCACCACTTTGCGCAGCAGAGGCTGGCCCTGGAGCCCGGCGGGGCGACCAAAGCCCACGTGCGATGCCGTCTGCACGTGCGTGTCCTTGGCCAGAACGACGGACGACACCGACGGGGCTACCGAAGTCACCACAGCGGGGACCGAGGTGATGGCCTGGGTCACGAAGGTCACCGCCGACGTGGCCGAGGTTGGAGCGATGCCCACCGGCGCGAGCACAGCGGTCTGCGGGATCAGGTTGAGGCTGGCCAGCTGGACGGCTTTGGGCAGAATCTTGGTGCCGACGACTGTCTGAGCAGACACGACCATGGTGCCCGTTGCTTGCTGCTGCTGCTGTTTTACTACATTGGCAGCCTGCAAAAGGGCCGAGGTACACATGAACAATAACATTACCAGCGGTCACCACATAATTCATAGCCTGAAGAAAATAAAAGTAAAAATTACTACGCAAAGGTGAAAAAAAACAAGGTCATTTATTTATCATCGGAAGTTTCACCGAGACACACAACTCATTTTCGAAAGGATCCTGCATTGGGTTATATGGCCAATAACTATTTAAAGGAGTGGTTTACGTGTAGCACAACAACACCAAAGCACCTGGAGGTAACCTACCAAGTACTCGATAGTGTAACACTCAATGGTCTGCAAAGCTCACAAACCTACTCAGTATACCGACACAGACCAGTGGATTGTGCAGTCCTAAAAATCCAAAAACGTGCAATCAACGAGTCGCTTAAGTTCAAACACAAATGGTATTAATTGCCTGGCACTGCAAAACACACACAGCGAATTACCTTCAAGATGGCATGGCTGGCAGCCTGCACAGAGGCCGTAGAACCCGTCGTCGGTGAGAGTACTGTGGCCTTCATTGTGGTATTGTCCCCAAACTTGATGTTGATAACCTGCGACGGGTTATTGGCCTTTACGCTGGATCCCAGCGCGCCGGCAGAGCCAGCGGTCGAGCCAGCGGCAGCAGCGATGGCGGCAGCAGCACTTAGCGCCGTCTGCGCCGCCTTCTTCGCTGGCGCCGCCGCTGCTTGCTGCGGTGAGGTGCCGGCAGGGCTACCCAGAGGCACCCCACCGGGCGACGGTGCACTGGCACCGTTGAGAGACGACGCCCCGCCTGGAGAAGCGTCCGGCGTCCGCCTGGCGATGCCCTCCGCATCCACGGCCGGCATCACGCGCGTCACCATCCGCGTGATCTCGCCCGACGACGTCTTGATGGTGCGAATCCGTACCTTCGGGATGGCGGGGGGCGAACCCCCGCAACCTGACAAGGAGGACGGTGCCGGGGACCCCTTGCTGCTGGTCTCACTCGACACGCTCCTCGGGCTGTCAGGCATTTTGACGGACGCCTTCCTCACGGCCTCCAGGGGGCTTTGGGGTGGCTTGTCACCCAGGCTGGAGCTCTCGCTGGGCACCGGCTCCTTTGTGACTCCTGCGGGCTCCGCGGATTCGCTCTCTTGCGTCTCCTTGTTGACCGTCTCGTTCGGGATTGTTTCCACAGCAACAGCTTTCTTAGCATTGAGGGCAGCGATGGCCTCAATGCAAGATGACAGCTTCGTGCCACCTCCGGCCGCTTTCGCAAGCTGACGAGAAGCACTTGTCTCCAGCGCGGGCCCCAACTTCCCCTCCTCGTTCTTGGGCTCTTTAGCTTCGTCCCCTGTGTCAGATGCAGCCCCTGTATCTGGCTCCTTTTTGGCCACATCCTCCTTTTCCTTGTGTTCTTCGTCCGATGGTGGCTCTTCCGAATGCGGAGACTCCTCGCTCTTCCCCTCGCTAAACTGCTTATTTGTTTCTTCCAACAACATTTGTTCATCCAGGTCATCCAGAGCCTTCAGCTCTCCCTCCAGATGCTTCTTGCTGTCCTCCAGCGCCATTTCTTCGGGGTCATCTTCCTTGAACTCGCCATCCCAGGACGCGTGTTCCACATCCGCGCCCTTGCTGCTGCAGTCCAGCGCCTTGAGCGCGCCGTCCGCCGGTTTGTACGCTCTGCCGCCAACGCCAGGCTTGGCTTCGTCCGCTCGTGGGAATCTCACTCCCCCCACCGCCTTCACCTCTTTCTCTTGCTTGTGCTCGCTCTCAGGCTGAGGCTTTTGCCCCCCTTCCGGTGGTTTGAACGGCGCCGCCGTGGATTTCGGTGCCACCTCAGACTTGTACGTGCTGTCCGACGCCTTGTGTGCCTTCTCCGAGTGTTTATGCCGCGCGTCTGTTGCTTTGTGCGCATCCCCGGGCCTGTACTGCTTGCCTTCCGCGCCGCCTTTGCTCTGCTCGCCAAATCCTCTGGCATCACGCTTCTCCTTCTTGGCATCAGGTTTCGCCCTGCCGGCAACACCACGGTCGGTACCGCCGCTTGCGCCAGAGAACTGCGGGAATTTTTCCTCCCTGCTCGGTCTCCTCGCCCCGGCGGGGAGGTTCCCGCTGTAGGTGTCCGTCGCGCTGTGTAGGCCTAGCAGCCGGTCCACAAGGAAGCTGCAGCTCTCCGATGAACGCCTCTGCATGGGCGCCGGGTCGGCCACGGCCTTAACGCTGTCCTCCTCCTCCTCTTCCTCATCGTCATCCTCAATCTCGCCCTCCTCAACGCTCGAGATCGGGCTGAACTGGCAGAAGCTCGACTCCTTCATTTCATTCTCGTCGCTCCTCAACGCCTCGGCTTTCTGCTGCGCACTGCCATACCGTTCTGAGCCACCCTTGGGCGCACCGCTGGCCTTGAAAGTCGGCTCCTGATTCCCGAAGCCAAGACCAAGACCGGAGGCGGACGCGGCTCCACCACCACTTCCGGCGACGCCGCCAGCGCCGCCCGAGCCCCCGACAGCGAAGCCATTCTGCACGGTGACGTGCTCGAGCTGGGGGCCCTCCTTGGTGGGTAGCGTATGCTCAAAGGGAGCGTCGATGCTGCGCGTGTGCCGCACAATAACGCTCACGGCGCCACCGTCGGCACACAGCGCAGACTGGGCGGCGCCCTCGCCGGTCTCATCACAGCCGCCAGGCCTCAGGCCCCCCGCACCCTCCCCCTCCTCTCCACCCCCAGATTGTATGGCTTCCTTCGCATCGATGTCCGGGATATCAAAGGCTGCGAGCAGATCATCGAAGTCTGGCGTTTTCATGTCACCCATGGTGATCAGTTTAGAGAAAGCCTGCACAGAGAAAATACATGTTCAAATGTTTCAATGAGTCGGGCACACCTTGATATTATACTCAATAAAGCATGTGACAATGGGCCTTTTCTAAAAATGTGATGAATTGTAACGTCTGTACTGTTTTATTTGTAATGTCCATCTCGAAAATAGTCTGTCTGATTTTTCTCTGTCTTTTTTATGCTGTCTTATTTGCTCACACCAATGAAGTCAAGGTCAAAAGGTCAACTGCCAATGTCGCGGATGTCACCTCTGACAATCAGCATGGATAACATTTGCGTGAATTGAAAAGAAAAGATTTTAACGAGCACAATTATATGCGTGGAATGCAAGAAGCACAAAATTTATCAAACATTACCATGACGCTTCTTAGGAACTACATGACACGAACACTGTCCTCAAAAACTCTTTACATTATTATATTTTTAAAGTACCATTACAAAATTAAAAGTGCATAAATACTGCTCTGTACATTGTATTTTCTGTAGCTGTCCATACAACATTCTTGTCCAAAACAATTAACCTTTCAGCTCAAAACAGTCAGTATCAGGTTTCTGCTGGGCTCCGGGAAAATAAGTGTGTTTGTGTGTACACGTTAAGAATACAGTTTGTACTAAAATAGTTTCACTATCAATTTAAACATTTCCAAGGAATACAAATATCGTGTTAAAAAAAACGTCTTTGCAAAGTTCCTGATTGGCAAATGCTACCATAAAGACGAGAAATTGTTTCGACAATTACAGGGAAATGTTTAGCGGCGGAGTATGCCAAACGCATCGGTGATCACGAACATATGTACCCAAATAGAGTGGGTACCACTGTATGAATTAATAAGTTTAGCAATAAACACAGCTCTTCTTCGTTAACCATGCGCACAACTGTTTCTGTGAAATGTCATTGTGAAATTCAGGACAGAATACTATTTTCCACAGTAGAATGATAAAATTTAGATTTCCTACAAAAAACCAAGCACGCTTTTCTTTTTAAAACTCACACAAAATCAATGGAGTGCTAAAAACTGGCTCGAAAAATTTCTACCACGTGAAAATAAATTTACCAGGTAAATATAACATCAGTTTAACACGTAGGCTTTCACAACCAATATTATCCATGAGATTTTTTTTAGGTTACATCGCGTAAATACAAATGTGTTGTTAAACTAGCCACCACCCGACACAGCCAATTAGTACGTAAACAAAACATGATAATTCGTTACTAGTACAGCACACCGATATGTTGGAGAGTAAACCCACTAAATTACAATTGTAAATGTTGTGCACTCGAAATGGCAAATGTTGTGGGTTTACTCTCCAACACATCGGTGTGCTGTACTAGTAACGAATTGGCATGTTTTGTTCACATGAAAAACCTTAATAATTGGTGGCGGGTTTAACGACACATTTATATTTCCGCGATCTAACCCAAAAACCTCTACGATGAAAAATAGCATAAATTTACTTAATCATGTTAAAATAATGCGTTGCTCCAGAAAGCAAATACTTTTATACGTATGTTGTTATACACAGCACATGCCTTACACAATGCATATCAACAGCTGGAAAGAGAAAATCGATTTGCAGTTACAGCAACCTGCCAAGGCGAAATATGTGAACGAGAAACAACGCAACGATTCGGAAAATCGGACTTTTTTTTTTAAACCTCTGATAAAATCATCAACGCTCTCTCGTAATAACATCGGCATTAAAATACACACAAAGCAAAATAATCACAATCTGTTTGCAATGCACACGTCTGGGACGCGAACACAACGTGCCACCCCGCCGTCGGGGTGAGTTGGTAGAGACCAGCGAGGCGTGCCAAGTGGTCATCATCGACCCCCTTCCTGCCGCTCACTTCCCTCCTCTCTTCATGTCAAAACTTGCCGTGTTAAAATGGCCGGCACACATCCTCCACTGCCTTTGAAATCACGTTGTCGAAAAAAATGTTACACATATACATAGTTAAAACGCTGCCTTTTGATGACGCGTGTATTACCCGCTTCACACATACTGCTTCCTGACCTGTTACACCGCGACCCATTCCATCTGTTTTATATTTTTTTCTCAATGTAACTCCACCTACGTGCCTCTTCTGTACGTTTCTTCGGTGGGGAAAATAATTCCGCAGACCCGTCTCTCCCTTACGAAAGAAGTGCAAGTGTCGATGGGTCTCTTACCTGATTACACGTCACGTTCATTCTGTTCATCCATCCATTTAGAAGCTATTCTTCAAACACAACAGGTTTCTCATTTGTATCCTGGAATTAACATGAATATACCGAGTCCCGCACACTACTACACACACTGATAATGTGAATGTGTGCAATTTACATTGATCGAAATAAATACATAACGTATCGGTAATTACCGAACACTAAACTACCGATGCACAGCAGCAGACTGCATGACAGGCCTCAAAGGTTGGGGAGCTTCAACACTGCACGAGCCGTTAATTGTTTAAGGCAATCCGGTCCCCACCTCTTAATGATTTTTTTCTTTCACACAGCCATTCGCTAATAATAATAAGACGCATTTAATTATATACTGCAGCAAGAGCTGAACAAGTGGATCCCCTTATAAATCAACAAGAGACCGTCGTCTGTCCGTTCAAATTCGCTGATGTACAATTCAAGCACGAAGTTGGTAAAAGGCCCTATATTTTTTTTTACCCCTCTTTCAAATAATAGCATCAGTTTAAAATGCATCGTCACGATTTACGTAGTTGCCGCGTTACCCAATTCATCTGCCAAGAGATACGACCCTGCCATTTGTCTCTACTGCTGACTGTGATGCTGATCTGTCAACGAGTATTTGATGATCGCAACAGTGCAATGATGTCATGCCCGACCGTACACATACAAAGATCCCAGTTTAGTCTAATAGACCAGTGGGGCAAGTGATGCAAATGATGCAAACACTATGACCAAGCATCCACTAAGGACGTCAAGGTAAATGAGGTGGTGGTGGTGTGATCAGACCATATACCCTATTGACTTTACCTCCCTATTGCTGATTGTTAACACACCGCACCAGGTTCTCAATTTAACCTACCTATGGGCAAGCCAGGATGGGTCCAGATACCATTTGCCAATGATGATGACGTGCACCGCTTGATAACAGAGCCAGGATCGCAGTGTGCAATACACGGGAACCACTACACTCACTCTCCACACAAGTCACACACAAGTCACATACACACGCGCACCAAAGCACCAACCCCCACTCGCCCTCCATGCTTCCAGCCACAAAAAAAAACACCCACACCACCATTCTGCATTCTTGATGTGGCACGACCACAGGCCTGCACAGGCCATGCTGCCTCTCTTACAGGGCTCTGCATTTTATATTTCCGCACAAAGTGAATGCAAGGATGATGTCACGCACATTAAAACACTGCAGAATTCGCATGTTGAAATGTGCTGCCGAGATTAATCGAGCTCACTGCACAGACACAAACTGGGTTTGTGGGTTCTTTAGTAAGCAATCATGATAATGTTGCTGACATACACACGAGGTTCACATTGGTATGCAGGCAGATAATTAGTAATTCTAATAGGGTGCACACACACACACTGAATTTGCTTTCGTCATCAGAGGCCACACACGGAATGCTATTCAAACACACATCAAGTGCATTTTACTATTCATCTCAGAACTCGTGCTTATGACAGAAAAATCACAGTACGGCCAGGTACACATACACACACACACCACTTTTGCTCTGATATACAATCTCAACAATTATTTTCGCCGAGACACACAAACACAATGAGTGCTCCCTGCCTAAGCAAGGTCAACACATAGCCAACACGAGCCGACCCCCTGGCATGTAGCAGCAATCGCACCCAGTGCTTATCAAATACAACACAGCAAGACGGATTACAATGGCCCACCAAAATATAAAACTAAAAAGCCCCACAGCCATTTTCAATCTTACCGGTTGGCAAACAGACACCAACAACAAAACATTCCCTACATTAAAACGGGGGTGGGGGTAGGTTTAAACCCCTACAGTAATGGTACCAAAAATATATATAACAATACCAGTAAACTACCACGAATAATGACAGCGCCAGTACCTGCATGTATTTTCTCCTAAGGGAGACAAGCCGCGGGGGCCAGCATCACGCCTGGGCCCGCTCGTGTCGCGATGCCCTCCCTGCCTGCCACGGCAACAACAACAACAGCAGCAGCAGCAACATGGCCTCTGAGGCTGCTGCCTCTGCCGCTGCCACGGCTCACAATGCGGCCGAGCTAACGCCGCGGTTAGCGGCCATTACTCGCATGCCACGGGGAGGGGGGTGAAGGGAGGAGGAGGAGGAGAGGGACCGACAATCGCCTTTCGCCTGCGCCACACACGTCTTGGTGGAGCTCGGGGAGAAGAGAGGGAAAAAAAACCCCTCGCCTTTAACATGCGTGTGTGCACGCGCGCGTGCGCACGTGTGTGTACACACACACACACGTGCGACAATACGTGTAACATGATGGTTGCGTGTCAAGTGCGCTGGTGGGTAGGTTAGGACATATTGTGTTCACGTGTCTACGTGTCGGAAGGGGATACGCGAGTGCAAGGTGTTTTTAGGGCGTCTGGCATGCTTCACTGTGTACACGTGGATCGGTGTGAACGCACACTGTAGCTATTTGTCCCAAGGTGTATACACAATGCGCCACGTGACATCGGGCCAGGACTGAATGGGCGTGTGCACATATTCTTGGTTCTTTCGGTAAAGTCACGTAGGCTGTGTCTGCATAGGTGTGACTGATATGGCCTATGTGTGTATGCTTGTGTACATGTTAAACAGTGTCCACGTGTGTACATGTTAAACAGTGTCCACGTGTGTGTAGCAGCAGCGTACTGCACAATATCTACTTGCTTAAATTTCCCTTGACAAGCACACCCGGCGGCGGCGGCAGCAGCAGCAACTGGGATCTTAACGCAGCCTCGGGCTCCCCTATAAGTCGCCTCATCCTAAAACGTGGCGTAGTCAACATCAGCAATGAGGAAACAGAGGCAACTCTTGTGCTGTGTAAACCAGAACGTACGATCGCCAACACAGCAGAAATATTAAGGTTCGGACGAGTGTTTCCCCCCCCCTCTCTTCGAGAGAACTGCATATCTCGCTAGGCAATTTAAAGGCTGCCTGATATGCGCATGTGGCAAGGAAGAAGACATCTGGCAAGGATGGTATATGATGACAATCACAATACTCAGTTGTGCAACACAAATGGCATTTCTACTGTGTATTGCAGCGTGTGCGTACCGACATCCTGTGCAAGGGACCGGCGCCGAATGCTCAGAAAGAGGAAAAAAACCCACCCCACAACAAATTTGCATGAGTTGCGATAAAATTAAGATTTTTAGAAAGACACTTGCATTGCTTTCTTGTGAGGCACCGAAAGCAATAAATGCCATTTATTTAGCCGGGGGAGGCCTCGAGATCACTTCCGAAGAGTCCTGCGTGGATGAATGACTAAAGTATGTAAGGCTTCTGTACACAACGTGACATTGTTGCCACGCCCGGTCACCCACAGCAGCAGCGGCGGCTCGGGGGGAAGTGGCACAGGAGCACAGCCGCAATCAGGCAAAAAAAAATGTCCACACAGACCTCTGCGGAAGATTCCGTCTTGACTGCTCCCAACCACGAGAACATGCGGCGATGCTAAATGTATAATGTACCCCGGTTTTACCATTGGCATAAAGCAGCTGTTAGTGTCGCACCGGGGGACATGTGTGACGGACACATGAGCCGATGTCCTCCTGTGCCTGTGAGCACAGGTCAAACTCCACAGTTCATGAAAACGCTCGGTTGATAAGTCTACAACAGCACCACGGGCACTATTATCACCAACCAATGCTGGCGTTACACTCGGGTAACACATACACATGCACAATGCCCTTCGTACATCCTTGGAGGTCAAAACAATAACGTCTGCATCGCATTGAGTCTGCCCGTGAATGTCATTGGCTGTGAATAGTAAATGTCTGTGTCTATCTCCCTGTGTGTATCCTATCGCCTTCTGAGTCTTCACGTCCTGTTTGTCAACCACGTCTTTCTTCGCGTGGTTCTGTCCGTGTCTACCAATGTATCTCGGGCTCCCGTTGCCGATACAGGGCTTCACTTTGTATTGGGATGGCTCTTCCCATCAAACAGCAGCACTAACCATCAGTATTACCACCACCACCCCCCATTGTTCATGCACCATTCCTTCCCATGCGTTATGCAATGAGAAAATAAATGTCCTTCATTGTGTAGTGCAGACACGTCACAACTTGGCACAAAACATAATAAATTGGTACATGATATGACTACAATCTAGTTTGATTGCTGTAACAGTGTCTGTTGGTTAAGGCACTGACATTTGACACACTGGCTGGAGTCTGCCGGGCCAAAAAATGTGAACATTTCCCCCCGACTTACCATTCCATTAATCTGACAAAGCAATGTCAATATCAATGACATTGCCCATACAATGGCCGCATCTCAACAAGAATGTGAGAAAGCATGACAAGGCGGTGTAGAAACCAACACAGAACGTGTGTGTGTGTGAGAGATGTCGTACTTGCGCCAATAATTCGTGATATGCAGACAGGACGACAGTCGATGTGTTGAGCGAAAGGGCAGTATTCTGGTCTAGTGTTGAATCAAGTGCAGAGTAAGTGTGCAGAGTAAGTGTGGAGAGTGTGTGTGAGAGAGAGTCATAGATGGAGCCGGTGGGAGAGACGGAGCCAAAGAGTGAGAAGAAGTGGTTGAAGCTAGCGAGTGGAGGTGATGTGATAGAATTGCAAAATAATGCGATTCTGTGGTAGTATCTGTGTGTATTGTGATCGTAATGTTTTCAACTGATGTAGAATAAAGGTTGTGTATTGGATGTGCGAGACGTGTATTTAGTAGATGTCTGTACTGAGGTGTCATTAGATTGCATTCAGTCGGATATGGAGCTGAAGAGTTAGCACGCATGTGTTGATAGAGGTGGCACAGTGGGAGCGCACCACTTTATTGTTTGAGTTCTGCATTTAATAATTTAATATCCATCTCAATGGTTTAATATCAAGTGAGATTGGTGTTGAATATAATACACTACACGGCCTGTACATGAAATGTAAACACCAGGTGAGGCCATCGATACAAGAGAGTACCGGCAACATGCGACTCTTTAAGGAATGTTTCTCGTGAGGTTAATTATTAAGGACCGTCTCGTATTCACATGCATTGCGACTGGTGAAATAGTGAGGGTTTTTTTAGTGAATAAAAAACACGGCTGTAGTGTACCCCTTTGATGTGATGCAGTCGAGTCGGTCTTAAATGTAGTGTATACACAGGTGTGTAGGTATAGATTTAAATATTACTTTGTATGTTGTGTATACTGTACGTGTATGTAATATCAAATATGCGCATCTAGAGTATGCAACACGTGTACTGTATACATATGTATACAGTACACAGCGTTACTCGGTGTATTGTGTATAAATGTACAGTATATGCATGCTTAAGTGCACCTGTGTATGTACATTCAGTACAGTACGTGCATACAGCACTGCACAGTACATACAGTACACGGTGTACAGTTTATGTTTACATTTGCGCGGTTTAATTATAAAAGTGACTTGCGCACACCCACAATCCTCCCCATCACCACGTCAAGCGGCCAGCAACAAACGGCACCGTTTGTAAAAGTCGCACCCGATAAAAGTCGAACGTGTGTACACGTGTCCCGAGTGCATCGCGCGCGTGCGTACGTCCAAGCACGACCATATATATCCCGCACGATGTATCAGGCGTGAGACGCTGTTGTTGTGTTGGTGGTGGTGCTGTGCTGTGCGAGGCGTCTCTCTCCGTGAGCTACCCGACCTGTCGGCTGGGCAGCCATGATGGAGGCGGCCCCGCTTCCCACACTCGCAGGGAGACGCGCGTCGCTCCGGCTCCCGTGAGCGACGCGCGGCCTCGGGGAGCAGCTCGCTCGCTCTGTCTCTCTCTGTGTCTCCCGCTTTCACGAATGATGTGAAAACATCGCGGAAGGGAAGCGCCGTGCGTGCGTGTGCGTGTGTCGCTGCGTTACTCTTTGCTTGTTAATCTTGCTCGGGGGTTGGGTTTTTTTTTTGGTACAACAATGCCGACCGTGGCAGCACCACGTGACCCACCTCCCGGCATGCCCCGCGCCCCGTGGGGCCTCCAGTCTCACATTTTATCCTTTAACACCCCCCACCACCACCATCCACACTAAAGCCTTGCTTGCTTTATAACGATTCGTTTTGCGAATTATGAAAAGTTCCCCTTCATTTAGGCTAGTACTGTATTGCCGCATTGTACACTGTTCGTGTATTTTAATTATCATAATTCGTATTTTTGTTACTATTCTATATACAGTACTGCATTATACAAGCAGTGTTGTAAATGTACATCGTACATAACGTCAGTTATTGCAAAAGTTAACCGACATTAATCGCAACATTAATGTTTTAAATGCTGTGAATCGTGTATTGCACTGTTGAGGTTCAGGCCTGTTCGCTGTAATGATTTATGCACCTTTTCATGCGACAGTCCCTTCAAATGCTCTCTTTCACATTCACAAAATTGCACACGCGTTTAACATTTGTTGAATATAATTAGGGACCTAATTAGTTAAAACGATTCAAGTACCCTCCTCCCCCCTCTTTATAGAGATCATGTGATGTGACGGTACAGTGCACACTATTACTGTATCGTTGGGTACAGTAAGAGAAACAAGATGGCGGCACGAGGGCTGGGTTCCCGCGCTGGCGTGCTGCGCATGCGCATTGAGCGCGCGCGGTTCGTCAGGTCACGTGGTGGTGGTGGTGCAGGGGGGCGGAGTTCAGTGGGGCCCCAAAAAAGAACTCTTTAAGAGTGTAACAAATTAAACTATATACACACTCGCCTGTAGCCCGTCCCAAGTTGCAGTAAATCTGAAATATTCACGCCAAATTAATTGCATCCGTGCGTGTGCAGTTTGTAAGGCCGGTAACACAGACTTGTTTTATTTAACGACTATATCCCTAGTTTGTCTTCCATGTCTCAATAGCGTCGTGGGGTTCGCGTAACATGAGGGTTCTGGCTTTTTAATGAGGGTTAAGTTCTCGGTGAGGAGGGAGGAGACTCCTCCCCATTTGGAGTGACGTCACCCACTCATTCATGAGGGCGTGATCTCATCCACTCATGATTATTAATTAGGGGGGCGGTGCTCAATGTGACGTGACGTCACTCATTTTATTAGTTTCATTTATTTGGTATAGCCCTGTGAGCCATTCGGCTCTTGAATCGGGTGCAACCGCAACAAACAAAAAAAACATGAACAAGAAAACATCTTAAAGTGACTTTGTGCATGTGCAAACAGAAAATCCAGGGAAAAAAAACATCAAAATATTCCTGAAATAATTATAGCGTTACGAAGTTAGCGTGACATGAGGGGTTCTGGCTTTTTATCTATAAAAATTTACAAACGTGAATCTTCCCTCACCACGATGGGTTACCGCTCAGCTGGCGAGCGAGGGAGCGAGCGGTGATGGCGAGGCCATAAACACAAACAACATTCTGTAAATCCCCTCACGACAGGCCCACCACCACCACAAACAACATTCTGTAAATCCCCTCACGACAGGCCCACCACCACCACCGCTACACTACTTGAGAAAGAGTGAGCGGGCATTGTAAGCGCAAATCTGTGCACTTAACATTGAACGGTGAATATTGCCGATGCGGGACTCTACGTTGTCAAAATCATGAGTGAGCAGTCGGCACATTAGCAATGTCGATCACGAAGTTGCCTCGCTATAGATTACGACTAATCGCGATACAATTTATGAGCTGTTGCCAACTATTGTGCTGTCTTGAATACACAGTATAATGTGGTACAGAACACAGTTCCGCAGTGTCACGATGTTTTGGGAGTTACAAAAAATGCGACCGAGTGAGCCCTCGGGGTTGAATGTTGAGCGAGTTAAGGCAATGAGGCTGCTTGCTCAATTGCTCTATGCCCACCATCACCATCCCACAACCGCTACACTGTCCATATCCCACTTGGCAAATGCCTACGCGTTAGAAAAAATCTAATTGAAGATGCTGTGTTGTCATTGACGTGATTTAGTATAGCTACTGTGCTGGATTTTGACGCTTCTAAAAATGTGCTTCTGAAACAGCCTTCTGAAATTAAGTACCGAGTTGCCCTCTCCGTTATTTCTTCACGGAAAATGTTCCTGTGCGCACTCGGAACTTCCATTAAATTTTCTGTAAAAGTTCTACAATCCCAACTTACGTCGGTATTTCTGTGACCTTTAAAGAAGGCCCATTGTTGGAATCTTCAGCCTGTAATACGGGATGTTTTTTTTTTCGTAAAAAGTCAGTGTGAATTCCAAATGTGGCGAGATGTATGCTTTTAGTATTCATGGATGTGATAACATTGGTGTAATGTAATGCATGGTGCTGTAATTCGGCAATACTGCATTATATTTTTTCATTTAAACGTTAGCCTTTAACATTACACTCAGCCCACTCTAGACGACCTGCAGAGGATACTGTGTAAGAGTTAAGGCTACCCACAATTTATCCCACCACGAGAGATCCAAACTTGGTAAAGGTATCATCAGCTGCCTCACACAGTGTACTGCCCCTCTATATTGAACTAAGTCTAACTTCAACATTAAATTGAGTAAGAAAACAATGATAAATATACACACAGCCTAGTTATGGTTTGCAACCTGATATTGCCAGCAAATGCAGACAGCAGAGTATTTGCACACTTAAAAATAAATGTGCATTACAAGGGCCAGCCAAAGGTCAGGTGACGGACAGGCAGGGCCTGTCATGGGCCCATGTAGCGGTAAGCAACTACATGTGGACGGATTCTGCATCCGATAGTCATGTGGCTCAGTACCAATAGAAGAGTTTTTGCTGCAATTGCAGTGGTGGCGTGAGCCCATGTCGGATGTACGAGCAATGTACGCGGTGCATTCGTTTACAGCTGCATATCAGAGCTTTCAAGCTAAGCTTTCTTTTGAATTTAGATGTCACCTCACATACATTCTTAACCTAGCGATACGTGCATAGAACCACGTGTAATAATTAATACTCTTCTATTCATTGGTATGTTATGGGTTCACTTTACCCCTGCAGCCTCTAGAGGTACTACTATTCACTGCAATGCAAAAAAATGACTCTTGAATCACACCATGACCCTAAATCATGGCAATTACAATTGCTGAGAGAATAGGGGGTGAATCATTCCACCCAGAGCCTTTCAAGTATTCATCTTATTTAAAATCCTGTGCCTTCGGATAAAAAAACACGTTAACGCAACACATATACGGATACATTCTGTACAAGGGGATCCTTTTGTAGATACCCCACTAACTTATTACATATTTTAACGCTCTTTGTGAGATGTGGAGCTATTACTTTCACAAGGTTCAATCAGCCATTGAGACGAGAGTAAGTGGGTCATTAAAAAGCGGGATATCTATAAACATTGCACCTTTTATATATACAAAAAACTGTACCACAAGGCTCAACGATTTCCCAAAATGTACTTTATTTTAAAAAAACCCAGTAAAATTCATTCTTTAAAAAAGCAGTATAAAAGACCACACAACCAGACCTTAACTGTGGAATGTTAAATTAACTACAGTCCCTGTGATCAGTATGCAAAATAAAACATAGAAACAAGGAAGCCAGACAATGCTGTGTAGTGAAAATGCACTTAATTATACAAGAGACTACTTTGGCTCATCGAGTCTTCACAACTAATTTACGCGAGGGCCCTGATGAAGATAATGAGTTATTATTTAAGACACTTTGCACGTGTCTACGCACACAGAGTAGCCACAGCTGAGAAGATATTCAAAATCTAAACATGGTCAAATACCTGCTGTGGTGGCCCCCCTTACAATCACCTCATTGGCCGGTGGGTGGGTCTCTCCCACAAGTCATCACGGCTCTCTGCCAAGTCTGGAGAATAATGGTCATTCACAAGTGATCCACCAGTTATTAACTTTGCTAGATTATAATCGGCGTCCGTCTCCGTCACAACTGGCTGTGTTCTTTCCACTTTGCGACATTGATCCGGCTTGCACGCACGCATGTGGCTAAGCGACGAGACATCACTGTGTCAACCCCCTCTGCTACCCGCTCCGCAGCGTATGGAGGAGACGGAGAGAGGTGAAGTTGGACCAGGGACTAATTTAAACCAGGTCTGTCCGAGTCGGCGACTGAGAAAACATTTTAATGCCAGACACGCGACATTCAGGATACCTCTCGCTATGCCTTCTAGTCACATGCTACTTATTCCATTCTGCAATCTGTCGCTGGCGAATTAGACCCACCATGGATTCACACGATGTATTTTGACGCAGTGTTTTTTTGATTTGTTTACTTCATTGCTGTACTTTATTGTTTGTTTTGCTTTTGTCATGATGGTGACCCAGGCCACTTGCAAATGAGACTGGTCTTGGGTTTCTGAATTCTCACCTGGTTAAACAAAAACAACTTAAAACCTGAAACATAAGTTAATGCAGCATTTCATTGTCATCCTCATAATCGTTATCGCAATCGTATTGTAGCTCCTCAACGGCAAAGGCGCCACTTGGAAGCACCGTTTTATTACAAAAGTGAAGGTTAAGCAGCAAAACGAATCAAATAAATTAATCCGACGTTCAGACAAGTGTGAAATAAAATTTACAGTTAACAGGAATGAAAGTGACGAAAAATGTGAAGGTTAAAAATTTTTCTTGTAAAAGATAACCACGCAGAGCTGTCACCACCATGAGAACGGTGTGATGCAGAAATAACATTTGTTATTTTTAGCAACCCTGCAGGACCTGTCCAACTGTCTTAAG